TTTTTCCTAAGGATAAAGTGCGTGCGACGAATTGCGATGGAGAGTACATTCAAAGATGTGTTCTATAGATCGTGTGATCCGTTCATTGAACTTGGATGCTAGCTAATATATGAAGGACTTAACACGGTAGAACTACTTTGCAATTGGGGCGTCCACACTGGAGGTCGCTTATTCAAATCTCATTGACTGTGTTTGCAAACTATTCCGAGTCGAGGTCACAATTCAAAGGCTAAAGACCTGTATTTAACATGTTCAATAGGACTTGTTGAGCGTTAATTTGTATAATATATCGAAGCAGAACTGTTGTGATGGAGTAAATGGTAAAAAAAAATAAAAATCCAAGGAGGTGATGCCATTTGCAAATTTACCACATTAATTTACATTTTTCTCAACCTTTTTTCTTCACCTCATCGCCGGATCAATTTTTAACAGCTCACCTGGACGTGACCTCGGGATTTTTTTTTTACCAGAAGACTGACATCACGACAATGACGCTATTATATATCATATTATATATGAGGTGTTTCTTGATAGGTCAAAAGGCTATTGCCTTTTCAATACTCTATACTTTTTTTTTTATCTTGTCCTACTTTAACTCTCAACTTACTCTCAGACTTTGACCCTACTTCCTTACAGAGCGTAGGAGTCAAAACCCACATCTGAAACTAAACTTCCCCACCCCTAACCCCTCCGAGAAGGTGGAGATTTGAACTTCCTACCTCCCCCTTCCCATATGGGAAGGGTGGTCACTGGGGCAACCTCTAGTGATTCAATACTCTATACTAAAACGTCGATGATTTTGATTTATTTTGAACTTCTCAAATTAAAAAAATACCAATAATCCAACTAATTAGTAGCTTAATAGGAGAAAACGATACTGTTTACCAACAATAATAAGAACTTCGATCCTATATGATCGATTAGCCAAATTTATTTTACAACAAAAAACTCTCTTTAAAACTTCGATGGTGGTTTTGTTCTGAGCCATTCGATATGTAGGAACATCAGGCCGCTCTTCGAGAAAAAAATTAGGAATGATTAATTTAAAAAATTAAATTAGGCGTGATTAATTTAAACATTACAATCGATATTTGTACCAATAAAAAATAAAAAAAGAGAAGTGGCTAGGACCGTGAGTAATTAGGCACAGTTAATTTAAAGTTTAAATTCGTTTGCTGATCTTCTCCATTCTCAAAATCGCACTAAGCCAATAGGTTTGTCTTTTTCGACCAGAAAAAAAAAGGGTTCGTCTTCAATGGAAATCTGCATAAGCATGACATCTTTAAACTTAACGATTGCCATTAACGCACAAAAACCCATTTTATAGATAATAAGAATAGTAGACATTAAAAGGTCATGCAAGATGTTACCCGTCATTAATGCACAAAAACCCACTTATAATAATAAAAGTACGTGTTTACATGCCAAAATCATTGGGAAATTTTCAAATAAACTCATGAAGTTCCCAACTCAGTCTCGAATAAGGCCCATCCTACTAATCGACTAACAAATGCCATAACCTTCCCGACACACGAACGAACAGCCGGTCAAATCCCTATCCAATTAGTCAACGACCATCGTCAAAACCCTCTTATAATAATAAATAATCCAAGGGTCATGTATTTTTCACTCTAGGTTACCCAAAGAAGAGATTCTTATTTCTTTTGACAATCTTTTTTTCTGCCTTTTCTCCTATTTTCCAATCCGGGTTCTTTTTCTTTTCAGACGTTCTTTTTCGCCATCTTTTGTTTTTACCCTCTTTTTTCCTTGTTTCCAATCTGGGGTTAAATCTACTGACAACGAACTTTTGACAAAGCCCATGGAGAGAGAGAGAGAGAGAGAGAGGGGGGAGGGAGAGAGAGACCAGACCGGGTCGTCCAACCCGAGGACGGAAAGCACCTCACGTTCCTCGCTCTAATCCACAGTGAACGACGACGGGGGCCCCTACCCGCGCACCCATTTTTCCAAGACGCAATTCATGTCAACATTGACTGTTGCCTTCTTCCCCCCTCCCTCTCGATCGCGTATCGTGGAGACCTGGGGTGGGGATCGATCGCGAAACGAAAAAGCGTCGCGGTCGGTGCTCTTCTTGACCCCCCCCCCCCCCCTCCCCCTCGAAATTTCTCGGCACGACCTCATCCGAACGGTGTGATCCATGCGAAGAAAAAACGAGAATCCTCGTGGGGTTGGATCGTCGCCTTGTGTTTGTTTTGCGTGTGAAAAGGGCTCTAAGAAGACGGGTTTAAAGGGCTCGAGATTCGACAAATCACTCGCCGTTGGGGATAATCATCATCCAAGTAGCACGAACAAGCTACGGTTTAGGTATCCCTATATGATCGCTCTAGAAAAAGCCTACCGCATAAGGCTCGCCGAGTTATTAGGGCAAAAATCATACGTCTGATAAATTTAAATTGTTTGACGATACGCGATATAGGGGTGTCAAAATCAAACAATATACCCGAAACGAAACACGAATCGACCCGATCCGATCCGAAGTTTTGGGTATTTTCGGGTCGGGTCAACTTCATGTTCGGGTATTACCTAAGCAAATGGGTATCTCAATCGTTTCGGTTCGATTCGTGTTTAGAACACGAACCGAACCGAAACACATATTTTTTATTTTTTATTTTTAAAACCGAAACACATTTTACTTTGTAGCACTGTCGTTCAACTTCGTCCTCCTTACATGATGTGTCTGAAGCTAAATTACCCAGCTGACAGTGTTGACTGTCTTCCTCAATAATTGAATCTAGCGCGTGGAAGTACTGACAACCGATGGGAAGATCGTCGCTTGCATCCGCAACCACCGGGAAGCACGCTTTTTCCTGTCAAAAAACTCTCCTGTCAGGATGCGGGCGACGCTTAACACACGGACCAAAACATCAAGACTTCAAATTTTACCAAAACAACGACAAAGTTTAGGCCTTTTTTCAAATTCTTTCAACACCCAACACTATATATCATCACAACTTCAAAGGGTACGCACAAAACGAATGGAAATTCCCAGAAAAAGAACCGTCGAATCGTTCGATCAAGATCAAGATCAAGGTCAAGCTCAGCCGCGAATAGAACGCAATGCTGCGAAATACAGACAATGTGGTGCGAGACGCGGGATGGAGAGACGAAGCGCGACTTCACCTACTTTTGAGGATGGACCGCCATTGAAAGCAAATGCGCTGCGCCAGAGAGAGAGAGATTCTAGTGGTGGCAGTGGTCATCGTGCATTGTCTCAGCAACCCGACCCGGTTTTGCGTTTCAGGTCATGTTTGGTTCGGGTCAAGAGTCCATATATCTTTTATGATTTGGGTCGAGTCGGGAAGCGTGGAGACTAGACCCAACCCGACCCATTGACACCCATAGATGTAACTTAACCTTAATTTATAATAAAAATCTAAAACATGACCCGAACCGAACCGAACCGACCCGATCATGCGGCTATATCATGTTCGGATCTTGTTTCGGGTCGGGCCAAACACATATATTCATCGTTTCGGGTCAGGTTGGGTATCATGAAAATCCGACCCGACCCATTGACACTCCTAACGCAATATATATATTATAGAATTTTATGACAGTTTGAGCTTTGCAGACAACCAATGCTCGATTTTAAGATCGTATCACGGTCATTATATCATGTGAAAAGTTCGCCCGACGATCCCTCTCGCCAGATGATTTGGAATACAATATTTTATGTACATGCAGCGTCGCCATATGTGAACACATTACACGTTCTTACATTTGAAAAAAGGCTACGGCTCCTTTGACTCGAGCGAGAACGAAGCTGCCGGCAAGAGGGATTAACTGGAACAGGAACGACCGTTTGATTAAGAAAAAGTTAGCGACGAATACCACGGTACGCCACGGTGGACGTACCCTATGATTTGGTTCCTGGAAAGTTTCAACTTTCAAATGGCCAGTGATTTTACTTGCTATGGTGCTTACGGACCTAATCAGTATGACCAAGTCTCCGTGGTTCCTTTGTACGGTTCCTGTTTTGTACGTATCGGCATGTGCGCCCTCGGCGAAGTACATGTCGAAGTCCGACCAAAAAAAAAAAAAAATACACGTGGAAGCGTTCCCGACCATACGGAGTACTAATCGAAACACCGTCACCCGAGCACTAAGGTGATCATAATTGACTGGAGCTTTTTTTTTTGCATCCCCCCAGTTTCAAGACGCGAGGGTCAACTTCGATTTTGTAATTATTCTTCTTCAGAGGAAAGGGTCAAGTTCTGATTGGCAGACGTAGCGTATTTTGTCGCAATGATGACTTTATTTCATTGTCAGGTGTAGTTCCGAAATTGGAACTGTGAAATTCCAGAAATAGTATATATGATTCTTCGACATAATCATCCCATCGACACGGTCATTTCTATGTAATTTATCAATTTCCAAACTTGATATGTTTACCAACCCGACTTCATCTCCCCCGGTAAAGTCTTTCTTACACGGCGCTCACTCTTTACTATCAAAAAACGAAAGTGGACGTCTCATCTTGCCTCGCCCCTCGACCCTGTGTAAAGATCGATTCGGTCATTGCGTTCGGAGATCTACCAGCTCGAATAATCACCCGGTTCTATCGAGATCGAAGGAACCGTCCCGATGCGGAGAGATCAGTAGGATGCTCAAGAGATCCCGGCGCGAGACAGACATGGCGAAAGAAAAATGGATGAGCGGGCCGAGGATCGGAGTACAATGAACCGGACCGGGTCAATGTGACAGGAGTCGGGGGGCCATAAGATGCTGATGATTCTGCCCCGGATTACGCGGGCATTGACTTGTTGTTTCGCACAGCACAAGACTTTCTGGGCTTCGGTCCCCTCCTCGACACCATCAAAATTATCCCCTCCCCGTCTCTCTTTCGCCCCCTGATTTTTCTTCTTAGTTTATTTCCGAACCAAACAAACTTGCGGGGGAAAGCCATCAAAAGAGAAAAAAAAGAAGAAGGAGAGAGAGAGAGAGAAAAAGATAGATTATAAAACGAGTTGAGCGGGGTGTCAGAAGCAGCAGCACCGATCAGTCCTCTTCTTGAGAGGGGTAACAAAAGTCAAGAGGGAGGGAAGGGGTGGGGCTGAGCAGATTTCTCGTTTCTCCTCTTTGATTTTGCTTCTGTGCAGCTTCTCCTCTTCTTCCTCGAACCTCACCGCCCCCCCCACCCCCACCTCCAGCCATCTCGCGTCCATCCAAATAAAGAAAGGCAGGGAGATCAGCTATAAACTTCGTATCAAAGAACAGTCACCCGGAGAGAGAGAGGGAGAGAGAGTTTGTGGTGTCGTTTTTGTTCATCGTCGCTGTTACTGTTGCTGTTGCTGTTGCTGTTGCTGTTGATCATGGGGAACTGCTGGGGAAAAAGATCGGCTATGGTGGATCACCACCAGAGCCCCAACCCCACAAAATCTTGCAGCCCAGGTCTGTTCCTCTTCCTTCCTTCTTGGTTCCATGATTTATCATTATCTTCTGGTGGGATGTGAGCTGAGTTCATCTCTCCTGTTCTTCATCTCCGGTTTTCTTTTGACTTTCTTTTTCTTGTGGGTGCAGATGCTCTTGCTAAGAGTTCCAAGGCAAAGAGCGATGCGTCGGCGGCGGCGGGGGGCGAGAACGGGAAGTCGCCGGCGGCAGGCGGCGTGGCGGCGGACGAGGCTCCGGCCGCGGCGAAAGCCGGGGAGGTGATGACGCACATCCTGAAGATGTACTCGCTGGCGGAGCTGAAGAGCGCGACCAGGAACTTCAGGCCGGACACGATGCTCGGGGAGGGCGGGTTCGGGAGGGTGTTCAAGGGGTGGGTGGACGAGAAGACCCTCGCCCCGGCCAAGGTCGGCAGCGGCATCCCGGTCGCCGTCAAGAAGTCCAATCCCGACAGCGATCAGGGCCTGCGCGAATGGCAGGTGCGTATCAACGTTCCAGTACAATTCCATTCTCGATCCATACATCGTTTCGTTGGTTTCGAGTTTCCATTTTCGTCCAAATCACTTCACAGAATATCACGTGACGATACTCCTCGCGAATGAAAAACAAAGCACGATACTAATCAACGATTTTCGACGGAAAAAAACAAAATTGACGTTGAGAAGAAGCGAAGTCGACCTGGACAATGTGCAAAAGTCGACTCCCCCTAAGAGGGAGAGCATATTGATTTTTTTTTTTCCGAATTTAAGGTCATATCGAGTTGAGCGATTTCCTTTTTGCTAATTATAAAGTCCTTTTTTTTTTGGGTCCAATTCTTGACCAAAGGATATTTCATTTATAAAATAGTTTCAAATTTGATAGGCCCCGGAAATCCGGCTACCGGACTGGAGTCCAATTTGGCTAAAGTAAGGATTAATTAATTACTTGGACTTTGTTGCCCATTTGCCGACCTCGTGCTTATTTATCTTGGCGTTGGAAACAAACTACGCTACTTCGTGCACAGTGAGCATGTGTGCTGCACGAAAGATGCACGTTAGATTTGGCCAATTGGTAAGCTCGGCCGTTATTTGAGACTAATTTGAGAACATCACGAGCTTATTTGAGACAATGTCTATTTTGAACCATTTTTTGAGAAAATTGCAGATTGTAATTTGAAATTCTCCCCATGATTTTGGCCCATAAACACATACCTTTCTTATATAGTAAAAAGCACAAATCGCTCCACATAACTAATTGAACTTGCAACAGATTGCGATATTAATTATCGACGCAATTCATTGTGCATTGATTAGCAGTCATTATATCTTATTTCGTCTTTCCACAGTCGGAAGTTGAGTTCTTGGGGAAATTTTCTCATCCGAACTTGGTGAGATTAGTGGGGTATTGCTGGGAAGACAATCAGTATCTCCTCGTGTACGAGTGCATGCAGAGGGGAAGCTTAGAAAATCACCTTTTCAGAAGTAAGATCATCTGCACAACTTTTTTTTTTGCTATGCCCAGTAATCTCCATTATTTTTTTTTCCCTCGAATATCAGACATTAAAAAAAATTGTTCACCAAAGAAACCTTCGGTAATGCAGGGGGAGCCGAACCACTTCCGTGGGACGTGAGGCTTAAGATAGCAATCGGAGCTGCCCGTGGCCTCGATTTCCTGCATACGTCGGAGAAGAACGTCATTTACAGGGACTTCAAATCATCCAATATACTATTGGATGCGGTAATTTTTTCTACCTACTTGATTATTTTCGGTCGCTTCTCCGGCTATCGAGAATTTATTTTTAAGGATACCCGTGTAAATATCGCCCGTGTCGCCTAGTAAATGATATAAAGAGCTCAAAATTTCATTTGAAAACATCCCAGTTTCGGTTGATGTCGCGGTCGTACGTTTGATGCACTTTGGACACTTTTAGAATTCTATGGAGGAGTCTTTAGATCACGTGGTCCACGCGAATGGGATTCACTTGGCGTATGCCTGCGGCTATTGGATGTATAGCTGCCATTCTTGGGAATTGATTGAGAAACTTTCGTTCACTTTTCTCCGGTTTGTGAAATTGGCACCAGGACTACAATGCCAAGCTCTCGGATTTCGGGCTAGCAAAGCTGGGACCGGCCGGCGGGAACTCTCACGTGACCACACGAGTGATCGGAACATATGGTTATGCCGCTCCCGAGTACATCGCCACCGGTAAGACCACGAGTCCTTATCTTTCTTCTACGCGGGCAATATTGGATCGGTGAAGATTGACGGATTACTTGGCTGTGTGTTTGCGAAATGATCTTACTGCAATGTCTGTTCATCAAAATCTCCCTCTCAATGCTTCTTTATCTTAAGCGAAGGTTTCATGTAACCTTAGAACATGCGTGTTAAATTTGACAGGGCATCTGTATGTGAAGAGCGATGTCTACGGCTTCGGGGTGGTTCTACTAGAAATGTTGACGGGCCTACAAGCGCTCGACCCGGAACGCCCCAGCGGCCAGCAGAATCTGGTAGAATGGGCGAGGCCGTTGCTCCGCGACAAGGGGAAGCTGAGGAAGATAATGGATGCGAGACTAGAAGGTCAATACCCTTTGAAAGCTGCAACTCAGGCAGCTGAACTCATCCTCAAATGCCTGGAAGGCGATCCTAAAGCGAGGCCGTCGATGGATGAAGTGCTGGTGGCATTAGAACGTATCAACAATATACGGGAGAGAAAGGAGGCCAAGGCAAGCACGTCGAGCCGGCCTTCTTCTCACCAGCATCATCGCAACCACAATCGATCGCCGATTCACCACAATCACAGCGCTGATGGTCCTCGTAGATCCGGAACTCGACACTCCCAATCCGCGGCGTCGAGGACTCATTGAGATGGAGATTTGACTTATTTCTTAAGACCAGATGGAGCTGAAATCTGTTTTTTTAGTAGGATATGCAACTCAGGAATTAGAATTTGGCAAGTAGAAAGTCAGCAACTCTAAAGGCTAGTCTCTTGTTAAATATTTTTGTCAAGGATCGCAGTGCAGGCGGGGGAGGCACTTCACGGCCAAATTTGTGTGTACAGTTGTCTAGACTGGGGTTTTAAACACGATCATACGTTTTACCAAAGATGCATTCGAATTATTTACGAGATTGATTTATCGAAGATCTCTTGGTCTCTTAAGTTCAGGAACAATATTACCTTTTCGGCCTCTACTAAAAGATTAGTAGAAGGATGAACAAAAGGAAGAAACTCGAACAAAGAAAAGGAAAATCCATATATGGTGATCATGCTCAGTCGCCTTCGAAGTTAATTTGCCCTCTTATGAAGCAGAGATCCGAAGATAGTCCTATTGTGCCATCCTCTACGAGCCAACACCTGTCTTGTTCGCAGGAACGATAATTCGGTAGTGTCATTCAATCACTTCATTCGATCACAATGCACTGTCAAAAGAAAGGAGGCAAACTAACTCTTAGTTCTAACTTCTCGCCCCGCATAGCAGAAGGTGCATTACACAGCATATACATTCACTGATGCACTTCAAAGCAGCGAGGCGGTTGAATTTACCAGCCGAAATCAAATGCATGATTATATAACCGGCAATATGATCTGCTCACTTAATATTCTATGTAAATGAGACTCCAGGAGAAAGTGATAACCAAACACAAAGGAAAAAGATGAGCACATACAATTGGCATTTATTAAATCAGGAATATCCTGTTGCCACAGAGGTGTATGACAGGGCAAGTTCAATATACCACAACAAAAATAAGCATTGGAACAGAGGTTATAGCTCAGACATTGTCTTGTGCTCGCTCCATCTCAATACATCCAGCTCTGTGTGGTCCTTAAATGCTCGGTCGCACATTGAGCCGAGATGCTAATTTCTGACCCAGAGATTTGTCTGCCTGTTGCAATTGCAGATAATCTCAAATGAGTTCATTATCACATCGGCGTGGAAATATATCACAAAGCAAGCAACAACCGAATACCGCATTTCTGAATTTTGAATTTTACATCTTTCACTTAAACCCCATCAGGACTAGACAAGAAATAAACGACTATCTCACCAGAGACCAGTATGAAAGCCAGATGCTGCGGATTTCATGAGTCACACGTGGGTCAGACAAAGCATCGATCCATCGGCAGATGAACCGTTCTTGCCTGAAAAAAGAAAATAGAGACAGACGATTGAGAAACATGAGACCGTCAAACCATTTTCAGGAAATGCACAACTGAAGAATACCTGTCAGGCGCCCATGATCGGTATCTCTCTCCAGGCTGCTTGAAGTTGTTCTCTTTCTCAATGATGGTCTGTTTGGAGCAACAAAAGTTAACAAAATCCGAACACACATACATCAGTCACACCACTCACTGCAATTCAATTGATTATCTATTGGACAATCTAAGTCTATCCCATCGATATGATCCTGAAAGCACCTCAAGACAATCAATCTCTATTCAAGTGGAAGAGATCCTGCGAAACAATACCTTCTCACGCTTTCCAGTCAGCATAGCAGGAGGAAGGGGATATCTCTCCGCATGACGAACAGGATCATACCTTGAAGGGAAATAGTTTATCTGCAACAAGGAAATTAAGCATTTGCTCAACAGATAATCCATCATTTTACATAAAAGAGGACAGGTATTTCCTACATATGTAAACATGTATGTATGTTTCAGGCACAAAGTGCATTTGCAAAATTAAGAAAGTAATCCTCCTCTAACAAAAGCAGGGAATACATTCGCACTGCCACTTTGGGATCAGTAATTGACATGTCAGATTGCATCACTAGGCCTTCATACTTCAAGGAAAGACTGATGTCTAACTTAGATATGTCAACAAAAAAATCCACAAGAGATGCTGCCCAGAGTATCGCTGCGGAAGGATTTAAAGAAGATTCTTACCTCTTCATCCCTATGCATAAAATTCATGAAACCTTCATGGTGATTGTTGTGATGAGCACATTTAGGAGCATTGGGGGGGAGTTGAAGATAATTTGGTCCAAGACGGTGCCTCTGAGTATCAGAATATGAGAAAATACGAGTTTGGAGCAGCTTATCGTCTGAGTAGTAGACGCCAGGAACCACAATTGAAGGGCAAAATGCAAGCTGTTCATTCTCAGCAAAGAAGTTATCAATGTTCCTATTCAAGACCAAGTGGCCAACCGGCATTAGGGGCACTATGTCTTCAGGCCAGGTCTTAGTCACATCAAGTGGGTCAAAATCGAATTTGTCTTCATGATCAGGATCGATGATCTGAATGAAAAGTTTCCATTCAGGATAGTTTCCAGCAGCAATGGAATCATAAAGATCCTGAGTCGCATGGCTGTGATTGGATCCCCCAACTCTGATTGCCTCTTCCTCCAGCAAGCTCTTGACCCCGCAAGTTGGTTTCCAGTGAAACTTCACATAATGCGCTTTTCCGGCCTTGTTGATCAAAGTGTAGGTGTTAACTCCAGAGCCCTCCATGTGCCTGTAATCTTGTGGAATACCAATATCATCAAAGAGGAAGGTGAACATGTGCAAGCTCTCGGGATGGTGGGAGAAAAAGTCAAGGATCCTCCAGTTCTCCTGGATGTGTGATTTGGGGTTTGGTTTGAGCGCATGAACCATATCTGGGAATTTCATCCCATCACGGACGAAGAAGACAGGGAAATTGTTTCCCACCAGATCAAAGTTACCCTGCAGTAACAGAAAAGGTAAGATCCCATAGCAAAGGGCAACAAAAAATGTATGCAATGTGTACAAGAGAACTGCCATCGTCCCCACTTCAAGCAGGAAAGTGGATTCAAAACCAAGCAGTAATCATGAATAAAGTTAATCCAAAAGTAGCAATTATTAATATGATGTCTCTTAATAGATAGGTACGAATTGAAAAATAAGCCAAGTACATTCTATTTAAATTTATAGATGCTATTTCGACCAAAAAAAAAATTATAGATGCAACCGTGCTTTAGCAAAATGTGATATGAAAAACAGTTAGCTCTTACTGGCCACACATCAATAGCACATGCATTGATTGAGCTTAGGCTCCCCGTGAAAGGGTTTATCACAGCGAGCATCAAACTTGTGCTCTTCCAAACTGCAGACTTCTATCTGCTACCAAAATGACCCTTACCTCTCTTGTGTAGAACTTCACAGCAAAGCCTCGAGGGTCCCTCAGAGTTTCAGGGCTGCCCCTTTCATGGATGACGGTGGAGAAACGGACAATCACAGGTGTTTGAACTCCTGGTGCCCGAAGGAAATCAGCACAGGTAAGCTGAGTGATGTTATGAGTGACCTCAAAGAATCCCTTTGCACTGGCTCCCCTGGCGTGGACCACACGCTCCGGAATCCTCTCCCTATCAAAGTTGGCAAGTTTCTCCACAAGGTGATAATCCTCGAGAAGAATTGGACCTGTGATGTAGAAGTTAATTTTCTGTAAGCATGTTACCATGTTAAGCATTACTATAAAGTTAGGCTAATGGCTATACACATGCTAATGGCTACCACCAACAGCAGAATGATGTGTGAAAATGAAAAGGCGGATATGCTAGTCGAAATTGACTTATCATTCTTCCACTTTCAAAAACTATTTAGTCAGCGAAGAGTGAGACCTTTCGTCCGCTCTCTAAGGAACTATGTATTGCTAGGAAGCTGAACTTATGCAGAAGCTAGTTTTCAAGTTCCACTTTCCTATTAGAGAATCGAACCAAGTAGAGTGTCAGTGGCATAGTAGAGTAAAAATCCCCTGGAATGCCATCTAACTAGTTGCGTCTGATTGTGAGAATGGCATTAGGGATAATATTTAGATTTGCACTACAACATTGGACGAAACCACTTTTTCAGCAGCACCGCACTTCTCTTGCAATAACAAAATATCTGCATCATTAAGCAAAAAGCATATTTTCTTTCACGTTTCCTTGCCAAAAGGCAACACTAGAAGTATGAAGAAGGCTTCGACCGAAAAAATGAGAAGTATGACGAAGCCAGGTATTACATACATGAAGGACTCTGCTAATGCACAAACTTACAAGAGGAAAAGAAAAACAATGAGGACAAACAACCAACAAGGATAAGAGGACAGATATCGATATCAACACTCGACAGTTTCCTTTCTTCTAAAACAAGGGATGCGATCGTGTACGAGAGACACAAAGAATTGGATGATAGAGAGAGTGCTACAATCAAAGAAGGTTGTCCTTTCTATCGAATGGCCGAGCTAAATATGAATCTCTATCGATTACTAGAAATTCATATCCTCAGCCGAGAAAAAGAAAAGACAAGACAAGGACATCAGATGAATACCTCTACTCCCAACAGTCAACGAGGAGTTGTTGTTCCAGACAGGAGCCCCCGAGTTCGTAGTCCAGAAAGAAGTGTTGAAAGCACTCGATGGACGGTACTGCAAGCACAACCGCCAAATTTAGCAAGCGAAACCAACGTCCAACACCACGAGCAACAAATCAGGAGCACACACGCGAGCATACACAACACGTCCCTGTGAATTCTAGACTCTCCTGGAACGTTACCGGGCCGCAGAACAGCAATTCAACCTCTCCGAACAATTTCTAAGCCAGAAGCAAGAGCCCGACAAAACAAATTTTCAGAAAAAAAAAGAACAAACGAATCCGGCCCAATCCCGCCGCGCCCCGAATCGCCAAAACGGGGAACAAGAACGGGAAACTCCGGAAATCAATGGAACAGTACGGTCGCGGAGACCGGCGAGACGAAACAAGAAATGGGCACGGGCAGAACCGAAGCGGGGACGCGAAGGAGCGCGAAAGTCGACATATTGAAAGCACCCCACATCAAAACTCAAGCAACCAGAGCAACGGAAAAGTCGGTGATCAGCACCTTGTGCGGATCCATGGCGGGAAGCGAACACGAGCTCAAAACGAGAGAAAAAGAGAGAGAGAGAGAAGAGCAAGAGAAGCGCGAGGCGGTGAGCGAGAATGGACCGAGTCGAGGCCCTACAATAAATACGGAGGAGATGGAGAGGAGAGTGTGTGGCGATCAAGGAGCAGGAGAAGAAGCTCAGAGGATTGCTTCAGGAGGGGTTTTGGCGGGTTTCGGGAAGCGTAGCTCGTGGCTCGCATTTCGACGCACCTCCCCATCCTCCCGTATCCACTTCCTTCTCCTGCTAGGACAGTACGTGCGTCTCTTTCTTCTCCCGCCCTGGTTTTTTTTCGGGTATTTTTATTTTTAGTAATTGATCATGGTAATGCCCGAAAAATAGTGTTTTGTTTTTTTTATCCGTCCACCAATAAATTAATGGCTCGGATGAGGAGTTTTTGATGCCAGAATATTTCCCGGGGCTTATCGCTTCCGCATCACGTGGTTCCCGAGTTTCCATAAATTTTTATTTAGTACGAGAACCGAGGAGTTGAGTACACGAAACGTAAGAAACGTGTAATTTTTAAAACCAGACCTTGAAAGAAAAATGTCCCTTTCGAATGAATTTCCATCTCGTCGACGACGGGTTTTTTCCGCCACCCAATGCTCGGATATTCGTAATTTTTATCAGATTTTGTAGAGAAAGGTTGTATTTCGGTGTCTGTCGTTTCGGGTAAAACTATATAGGGAAACATCTCACTTTACGTGGACCGAAAAAAAAAAAAGGGTCAACTCTGGTTCCTAGTCCAACAAAAGGTAGTACATCATTTTGCAGGGGAAAGTGTCAAAAAAAATCTTAAACCTTTGGCATTAATATCAATTTATTTTTAAATTTTTTTTTGATATCAATTTAGTTATAAACCTTTTGCATTTGTGCCAATTCAGTCCTAAACCTTTTGCATTTGTGTCAAATTAGTCCTAAACCTTTTTTGATATCAATTCAGTCCTAAACCTTTTGTATTGGTGCCAATTCATTCCTAAACCTTTTATCTTTGTGTCAATTCAGTCCTTCCAGTCAATTTTGACCAGATTTTGCTAATGTGGACAACTGCCAACGGGCAACCGATCACCAGTGCTAACGTAAACAACTTTTAATAATATTTTAATATTTTATTAAATTTTTTATTTCTTTTCTTTTTATTTTTTCCCTCCCTTCCCTCCTTCCTCCAGCTAGTCGTTGGACCGGCAACCGGCCAGAGGCCAGAGGCCGACAAAGGCGAGCCTTGCCAGATCTGGCGAGGTCGTGCCTCGCCCAGCCGCTGGCGAGGCTCGACCTCACTAGATCCGGCGAGGTTGGGCCTTGCGCAGCCACTGGCGAAGCTCGAGCCCTCGCCAGAGGCCTTGCCTGCGGCTAGACATGGCCACAGTTCGAAACCGGCCGGTTCCGGTTCGTGGCCATGTGTGAACTGGAACTGGCCGGTTCCAGTTCGTAATTTTAAAAATTTTAAAAATAAATTATGAAATAAAAAAATTATGAAATAATGAATTATTCAATATAAATTGTAATCAAAATGTAAATTATAGGGGTGATCGGTTCCCAGTTCGATCCGGTTTCGCTCGGAACCGGGACCGGTGGCAAATCATAGAACCGGACCAATGATCCGATTCTAGGCGATCCAATGGAACCCTTTGCTATTAACTAGCAAAGGATCGTAGCCACAAAAGGCATACAACTTCACATGCTCATGGGCATACAACTTCACATGCTCATGGCTTGGCTTGGATTTTATACACAACCCCTTTGATGGTCTCTTCATTCCCATTTGATGTGGGACTCTTGGCATTTGCATGAAGACAAGCCAAGAGTCTCACATTGAAGGTGTTCAAGGCAAGCCGAGAGTCCCACATCGAATGGGAACGAAGAGGCATTAGAATCATTGTGTATAAAACCCAAACCAAGCCTTGTAATTAGAGTTCAATACACCCAAGCCAAGCATTGTAATTAGAGATCAATGCACTTACAATGCATAGTAATTAGAGTTCAAATTGTTTTATAAAAAAATAATTTGGAATCGGAATCAGGCCCGTAGGCCAAGGGCCGGTTTCGGTTTCGAACCACGGGCCGGGCTTGGGTTTGAACGGGCCGGTTCCGGGCCGAAACCGGCCCGTGGCCATGTCTACCTACGGCTGGGCAAGGCCTGAACCCTTGCTGGAGGCCGAGAGGTTGAAGGCCTCTGGCAAGGGCTCAAGCCTCGCCAGCCTCGCCATGGCTAGGCGAGGCACGACCTCCCCATATCCGGTGAGGTCCAGGGAGGTTGTGGCCATGGCAAGGCTCGCCCTCACCGGGCGAGGCCCGACCTCACCGGATCTAGCGAGGTCGAGCCTCGGCAGCGGCTGGGCAAGGTACGACCTCGCCGGATCTGGCGAGATCGACCTCGCCGGCCTCTTGCCTTTGGCTAGTCGCCGGTCCGACAACCAGCTGAAGGAAGGAGGGAGGTGAGAGAAAAAAAAAAAAGAAAAAAAATAATTCAAAAAATATTAAAATTTTATTAAAGTTATCCACGTTAACGCCGGTCGGCCGCCGTCCACGTCAGTAAAATCTGATCAAAATTGGCCGGAAAGATTGAATCGGCACAAAAACAAAAGGTTTAGGATTGAATTGGCACAAAAAATAAGTTTATGACTAAATTGATACACATGCAAAAAGTTTAGGACTGAATTGACATCAAAAATAGGTTTAAGACTAAATTAGTATCAATACAACAAATTTAAGACTTTTTTGACAGTTTTCCCTCGTTTTGCATTATGAACATCCGGCGATTGTTAAACCAGTAAAAATTTCTACCGGTTTGTTTTACAGAGTCGTTCACATCCAGACAACACGGTAAAATCTAGAGATTTCTCGGCATCGATTTCGTGTTTTATGTTTCCCGAGGCATCATGGACGTGACTTCTCCTTAAAAAGAAGAAAAAGAAGAAGAAAAGAAGAGGTGGGTGACGTGTTTTTGTTTTTCCTGGAAGATGGGGTCATGGTTTATGGCGACCTATAAAAGGACGTTTAGAAAAATTGGAGTTAAAAAGAGAGGGGAAATTATTGAGGACGCAATGCATTCGATTTCCCCTTATCCAGGAGGTGTATGTTTTTTTGGTGGTTAGCGACGGCCCATTGGTTTACCACTCAAAACCAGGGGGATTCCACCCGAACCATTCATTCTTTTTTTATCAAATTGTATTGAGTCGTGCGATCCCACGTTGTTTTCTCTGCTCCTTTCGGAGTCGGACCCGAAGGAGGTGGCCGCTTTTGGCCCGAGGCGTTCTTCGAGAGCCGTTTCTGTCCATAAGTCCAACCCGAAAGCTACCCACTTCAATACCCCCTCGCGTAGATGGTTGCGATCTAGTCGGCTCGTAATAGGGTCAAATCTTTGCTAAAGCTATTCATGGAGACTTTGCGGAAACTTCGGTGTTGTAAATGTGTATGTCTAACCTAGAGGTGAGCGGTTTCGAATTCTTTACTAATTTCACCTTAAACCTGAAACCTTCCTATCGGAAAAGTTTTCTCATTTTTTGAAACCGAGAATCTAGGAGTGTCAGAATCGAATTGAATTGGAATCAAACCAAAATTTCGTGCATTTTCGGTTCGTTTCGGACAATGAAAAATAACCGTTTTTATGTTCAGATTCGGATAGTTTCGGTTCGGTTTGGTTCGGTTCGGTGAACTGAAAATCGCCCCCCTTCTTAATATTATAGTTTACATAATATCTCTTCTTTTTCACTAAACCAAGAAAACCGAAAACCAAACCCAGGTTTTCGGTTCGGGTCGCGGTTTGGTTCGGTTCAATTGCTCAACCTAACGGTTCGGTTCGGTTTAGACTTTCTGAAAAATCGAACTGAATCGTAGACACTCCTACTGGAATTTACCCTACATATCTTAAAATTTGGAACTTACCCTGTCACAAGTTCCAGAGTCTAACGGGTTTTTTTTTTTTAAGTTAAGCAAAATGGAAGTGAATGCAACAACAAAAATGAAAGTTCCTCCTTTGTCAATAGCAACAACAAAAATGAAAGAACCTTATTTGTCACACTCGCGTTTGGGGACGACTCTTCTTCTCCTTCATCGCCCGATGATTCCAATTTTTTTGATCGGAGTCATCTCCTCACATCTCTCCACCTCCATTGACATAGTATCTCGATACATCAACTTCACACATACACAACAATAATAGAACATAATCAGAAGGCGTTCCTATAATTAAAGCAAGTGAGATTTAAAATCTATATTATCGCCATACATGTTAACATATCGAGACTATTTAGATTTTGAGAATGATTCGTTAAGTTTTATTTATAAGTAGGAAAACATCAAGAGCCATCCTCATTTTTAAACATGTATTGTGATGGTCTTGTCACTTTTTACAAGGTCAAGTCGTCCCCACCTCTCGGGCACCTGTTGATGGTCTCTTTATGCTTCATTCACAAATCCCCTTGCATGCTGATTATCTTGCAATGGTGTCATTTGGCTGAAATTTGTTTCACGTGTATGTCACCTTGCAAGGGCATCACATGGCTGAAACTGATTTTGGGTCTTAGCTGAATTTCGAGTTGTGTCTTTAAAGGCAATTTTGGAAAAAATAGAGTAACAGTTCAGGATTTTCTCATAAGAGTTTTGCAGCAGCCAAGTGCTCTTGGAGAAGCTAAGGCTAGTTGGACAGCATATATTACTATAACCAAGAAGCTTCAAAATGGGGGATTGATGAGTTCTCGTTCTTCTTGGAGAACAACACCCTTAGGAGCAAAAGAAAAGGCCATGTGCAGATCTTTAAAAGGAAGACCATGCACACATTAGATTTTTCGGATCCCGGTTCTCAATCTGATTCCCAGTTCTTGTTCCCGAGTCCTAAAAAAATGGAATCGGGAATTGGACCGGGGTTATTGGAACCTAGAACTGAATCGATTTCCATTGGTCCAGTTTCTTGATTCTCAGTTCTACCCTGAAACCGTACTCACTCTTACCTGACTAAAATGTCTAGAGAATCTCTCGATAAAAGTAGTAGGTTTGGTTGAGTGGCCTCCATATTCGATCTACATAAAACGTTTTTCGGAGATCAAAAGCAACGAGCTTACATTGGGGAAAAGCGGCTTCCCCTTCCGACGAGAAGGAAATCATTTTTCCGAAACCACCAATCAAATGAAATCTCAATAAATTCCCTAAAAACGATTTTCATGGAAAATGTTTTTCTTTATCATTAAGTTTTCAGTGAAACAAACACATCCTAAATTATATTTCATATGTCAAAAGCAAATAAATGCCATTCATTACACAAGAAATAATAAGCTCAAAATTCCAAAGCATCGTTAAATACATGACATTTGGGACTTTAGAGAACCAATGAAAGGAGGTCAGCCGAATGAAGCTCCACAGAATAAAGTTCATGACGAATGCCATCATCAGGATTCCCGCGAAAATTTCGAAAAAGAAAATGTGGCGGGAGATGGACTCATCTGTCTGTCGACTTTTTCGCTCTCACCCCTGAGAAACCAAACTTCGCCTTACGTAAAGTTACCACCTCCGTGAAAAAGGAAACACTAATCTGAAGATAAAAAAAGATGGAACCATCCATTCTATATATTTATTTAATTTGCAGTTGGAAATTAACCCCTGTCAAAGGAAAAGAAAATTGAATAGGTATTTTTCATATAGTTTAGGAGCTACGTTGAACATTAGACTAAAGTTTAGATATTATAGTAAATAAATTAAAAGTTCGGGGGCCACATTGAACATTGGCTTATATCGAACAAATTAAAAGTTCAGAGACCACATTGCATATTAAGTCAAAGTTCAGGGACTATTTCTGCCATTATCCCTAGAATGATCCATACAGTAATTAGTTCCCTCTGCTTATTACCTTTTTTTGTTGTTGCTAAAACCCTTTGCTTCCCGTTTGGTTCAGCTTTCCCAAGAGGCTTTCGGTCTCTAAAGCCTCTTGGGAAAATGCTGGGGCATTTGGTAAGTGTTTCCAATGGACTTTAGGCCGAAAACCAGCATTGGGAATGCTAAAACTAATTTTTTTTCTTCCCAAAATGCCTTCACTAATTCTTTAAAATTCTGATTTTTCCCCTCGTTGTTACTGTTCATCTTCTTTGCGCAAGGGCGATTGGCCAGAGCTAATGAGGCCAGACCGGGACAGCGAAGGGCCGAAGAGAGGCCGGTGAGGAGTCGGTGAGGTTGCTTGACCTTGGCGACGGTTGCTTGAGGTCACGCGACCTCAGATGGCCGTCAGCCTGGGTTGCATGACCCCAAGCGACAGCCGCTCTGAGGTCCCACGACCCTCACCGGGAGTCGGACGACCTCGGGTGACAGCCGCCAATGTCAAATCTGGCTCGCCAGCGGCTGCAGCCCACTCCGACGAAGGGTTTACTTTTTTTTTATAATTAAAAACATGAACCCAAAGCCTTTTGCAAAAAAAAATTACTAAACACTATTTGGACCAAAGTAGCTTTATAAATGATTTTTCACCAAACACCATTTGCATTTCTCAAAGGGGTTTTAAGTTAAAAGTATTTGCATTTTTTCAATACTCAATTGCAAAATTGGACCAAACGGGGTGCATTTCATGGATGTGCCGAATTAGCAATCAAATCAGGCACGTGTAGGTGCTCGATTAAGAACGGAAGCAATGCAAATTCATGCATCCATCCCCATATAGCAAGTCGACATAAATATGCGCAATCTGCCGAAAAGGGTATGATCAAACTCAGAGGATCTCCCCCGTCCAAAACGAAACGGAATCGTGGCCGTCGGATTGAGGGAAGTGACCGTTATAGGCTCCACCCTTTTCCTCTCTCTCCCCGAATTCAAATCCTTCCTCCCCTCCGCTCCCTCAATAAAACCCCCACCCCAAGAAAAAGAGAGAGAGCGAAAGCCAAGAATCAGAAAAGTGCAGAGAAGTTGCAGGGCAAACAACAAAGCTTTCAGCGATTCAATTCGTGGGTAACTTCTTCTTCCTCTTCTGTGATCTTCTCCGTCTGTAATCGCCGAAAACATTCGATCTTACCCCTCTCTCTCTCTCTCTCGCCCTGCTTGTGCCAGATCGGTTTGCGTTTTCGGGGATGTCGAAAATGAAGCTGGACCGCAAGCCTCCGCTCGCCAGATCCCCGGCCCGCCTCCGTCCCCGCCGGATCCTCCGGTCGAGCACGACCACGATGAAATCTTTGCAGACCCCACCAGGTTTGATTCTGACTTCCCGCACATTTTCGTTGGAGGTCGTTTGCATCGCAGCAATTTGCTTTTGCGTACGCGCGCGCGTGTCGTCGTGATGGGATTTTTGAATGGCCGCGTCAGGATCTTTGACGAAATCGGAAAAGCTGAGCCGCGCGTGGGACATCGACGAATCGGAGATCCGCCCCGAGTACCGCTCCATCTCGTGCGAGCTCCGTGCGCTGACGCAGATGGTCCGCGACGAGCTCAGCAACGCGGATCCCGCGGACTCCTTGTTCGCCAACAGCTTGGGCGCCGACACGGCCTCTGTGTTCGAGAGAGGGAGGTTCTACGACGTGTACTCCGCGAGGAGGAACGAGCGGCTGAAGAGGAAGAAAGGCGGCGGGCCGGGGGAGGAGAAGAAGGCCGCGTACGACCTCGGCGTCACGGTTGAGCCGGCAAAGAGGAGGGGGGAAGGGAAGAAGCTGGAGAACCTGAGGAAATCGGTCTGCGCGGCTTACTCCGTGGAGAGGAACGAGGGGACCCCGGCTCCGAGATACTTGCTCAGAAGCAGCATGAAGCCTCCCCTGGCCGTTAGCTATGAGAAGTCCGCCGTCGGTGAGCGAAGGATCGGAGCTCGGAGAGTGAAGAAAAACTGAGGATCGAAATGATCGCGAAGGAGTTGAGGGTAGGTGGCGGTAAAGACAAAAAAAGGTTTTTTTGATTCGAACTGCGTTTTGAAATTCCTCTTGGGACGGAAGTGTTTGGTTTGTCTATAAGATTTGATTTGTGAGCGTGCAATGCATGAACGTTAATTCTGGGGATTGTTCGGCTAAATCAGTTCGGCAAATGTTTAAAAGTGTTTGCGGAACGGAATCTTTTATTGCCGTGGTTCTTGAGAAACTACGTAGACGAGTGATTTCAGAAGTAATTACAGCTTGAAACCTGGGGCAATGTGTGGTGGTGGGCGAGAGCAAAGGAACGATTTACATGCGAAAGAGTAGTCAGAAAGTTACTCGTGAGAGGAGCTCATTACATCCGCCAAGATCGGCACAAGTGAAGTTGGGATATATAGTAGTCTAACAAAACAAGTAACACATCTTGGTTTCAGTCCCTCTAATCAAGAGTCAAATGAGTATCGAGTATAGCAAAAACCCCCTCCATTAGAGAGGGGTCAAGAAAAAAGGATTACAACGCATGTTAATCCGATATAAAAGAACTTCTCCACATTCACGAGAGGATGGAGTCCGAAAATGATGCCCCGGCCAGAGCGTTGAGGCGGGAGCCGGGCGCTGGGGGACTCATTTTATCCTGCATTTCATGACATATTCCGTTTAAGCAGAACTTTCTCCAAAGGAAATTCAGAGTAAACCCAGGAACTGTATGAAAAGTACCAATTTTCCATTTACAATAAATAGAGTTATTAATTACATTCCAGGTGAAAGATGCGAAATATAGTACAAGGCTCTAGTGTCGCATTGTATTCTGTTCAACGTTTGTGAACACGAATATCCTTTGTCAAAACATGTGTATCTGTTTAACTTCTAGCTTTGAATCCCAAAGGAGTCGTCAATGTTATCAAATGAATCTACGAGACAAGTGGCGTCAGCTTCTTGCAATTTGATGACAAGGATGGATGATCTGTTTCCTGCAAAACAGCAAAGGTTGAGTGACGCAACATGAAACGCAAATTTCAGCTACGATCTTCAGTAGTTCCTAATCCCCCAAATCAGAATTTTCAACTCACCAAACCTGAAATTAACCTTTTTTTTTTCTTTTTCAATCTAATCAAGCAATGAAATCTAGTTGCTCGACTGCCATGGTTATCACATTACATAAAGCAGAGATGATCCACTGACCTAAATTGATAGCTGAGTAGATCATCAACAGAGAAACTACTTTACAATGTGCTTTGGCTGCATGACTTGGGCTTGTATAACCATGATTTCACAGGGCAGACGTTTTCCTCTTTCTTATCTCGATCTCAATGTCTGCTTCATGTATCTCAGAGCAGACCGCAACATAGCTCTGGCTTTCCTGTCAGGCATGCACCCAGATAATATCATCTCTTCGTACACCTCTGGAACCTGAATTCCCAGCCAAAAAGAAGGATTAACATGCAATATATGATGCTGAAGGCGATCTAAACACGCAAGTAGGTAATAGGTTTCAAAATCTATTAGAAACTTGTCTGTCATTTTAGTTGTTGGCAGATATTAAAGACGATCCATTGCAAGTAGATACAGTGAGCCATGGACAATATTGAACATTGCTATTATCAACAAAGAAAGAACAATAATAATGTGCCACCTATCAAGTAATCATAATAATTACTACTAATACTACTAATATGATGGTTATTATAATCTAATGTCGGGCAGAATAGAACACTGTATACACAAACAATCTAACATCTAATCGGCCCAAGAGAATAATTGTTCAAAAAGGAAATAAGATAGGGAAATGCAGAAGATGCAAAGCTACTGTAGTCAGTATTATCTCGAGACTAACAACAGCTCCACCAACAACATATTCTGGAAAGCTGCTACTCTTACTACAAGGAAAAAAGAAAACCTAAAGTTATAGGTCTCTCAGCTCCATACACTCCAAAAATAAACCACATGTGGCACGAATGATAAAGAGGCCAACAATTATTCAGTTCATTCACCCACATTAGCTGTTTCTTAATAGCTCTGAGTTCGCCCAAACAACATTATATTTCTTCCCCTCCTTACTGTTGGCGCTGCAAAGTCAATGTAAAAGCAAATAACAAATTGGTCTAAAACCAAATTCCTGGTAGCAGTGATGGCAGAGATACTTTGGTGAGAACCTGATCCAGATTCATTACTAAAGCAGGATAAAGCTTTCATATTGAGTCTCTCAGGGTGGTTATCGAGGGAAGGTTAGCTACATCCAGAAGGCAGATAGACGATGGGTGTGCTTGGCTAGTCGATGACATCCACAAGGCCCCTTATCAGTGCAAGAGCCATTCCCTTCTCTAACAGCTTAAAGAACAAACAATAGCAGGAAAATGATGTCTGGACAGACTACTGTCCCATTGTTCATCTTTGCCTTTAAACACGTAAGCCTGAGGTAAACTGACTTTGGAAGAGAAAAGATTATACTGCTGGCAGTCTTCCCAATAGTGAACTCCATCACACATCAATTTGTGATGGTTAAGGAAACACAAAATTAAAGGCCATGTAAATGTGGAGTGAATCTGACTGAATGGACACATGGAAAGATTCTCAACATTGAAAACCAAGGAGCTCTGCATACAAACAATAGGACATCATGGAAGTTTTTCTTTTTGGGAGATGATATCATGGAAGTTAAGTACTTCAATATGCCAAATCTGCATTGAATTCTGTCTAGTGTCTATTTTTGCAACAATGAAATGAGTCATACCTTTGGAAACTTATCCACACGAATCAGGGCTTTCATGAGCGTCGTATATGTCACTACGTCTGGTTTCAGATTCTACAATTATAGGGAGTGCAAGTGACAAAAAGTAAAGACACCAACAATTTAGACACTGAAAAATACACAAGAAAGTAAAAGCAAAATTTTGTTAACTTACGTTTTCCTTCATGTACTTCAACACAGCAAAGGCTTCGGCATCCCTTCTATCCACCCCAAACGCGTTGATCAACGAGTTCAGAGCAAATAGACTGGGCTTTAGACCATCGGCTCTCATGAGCCTGAATGCATCTAATGCTTGGTCGGACATACCCTGTTGATAAATCGTAAACTGATCAACTAGAAGCTTAACATGCTCTTACATTTTCAACTATTTGTGACACTCGAATCCTCTCTCTCTCTCTCTCTCTCTCTCTCTCTCTCTCTCTCTCTCTCTCTCTCTTATTCTTTTTTGGCTAGATGTGTCACAATCAATCGCTAAACAAAATCAACAGGCATGATACAAACACAAAGAGGATGAAGAGGGAGAATTATCTAAAGGGGTGGTCCTTTCAACTGAAGAGCTTGTAGCTATGTACAATGTCAATAGATATAGAGCTTGAATACCTCAAAGTTCTTTAAGTCTTAAAAACTCCCCAGAGTACAACTAGTCTACTTGTTGCAAAATGGTAGTAACCTAGTAATGCTATTAAGTGGACCATTCCATTGTAGAATCATAATAAGCAATCAAGACAGTAACTACAACTGAAGGTGCAAGTGCAACGAAAAGAAAGTAATCTTCAAACCCAAGAAAAAAAATCAGTGTTAACAAGAGTTAAGCTAAGAGTAAGCGAATTTATAACATCTAAGAATACAACTAAGAGCAAACTTAGGTAATCTTCACCAGTAGACAAACATAGTAAAAAGAATGACTAAAACAGAATGCTTTTTTATGGTGGCTTGGGGCTGATATACTTGAAGAAGGCAAGATTGCATCCGATCATAATTAGATACTGAAAAAAGTTTTTAACCGTGAGCACTCCACAGAATGGATAGGAGTGAAGATAGCAACCTACCCTTTGAGCATAAGCATTTATTAAAGCATTATACATCGTAGATGATGGCTTCAACCCTGCAGACTTCATATCGTCCAAACAATCTACAGCATCATTGAACCTCCCCGACTGACCATATATATCAACCAGCGTGGTGTACGTCACAACATTTGGAAGCAAGCCTTCCCCTCGCATCTTACCCAGCAAGCTCTTTACCTCCTCCCACCTCTGCCGCTCCCCAAAAGAATTAATCATAATGTTATATGTCGTAGTGCAAGGCGAGCAACCCCTCTCCTTCATTTCCTCAAACAACTCTTCTGCTCTGTCATGGTGTCCTGCTTTGGAATGACAATCAATGAGAGTATTCCATGTAACGTTACATGGCTCAATCCCCTCTGATAGCATTCGATCAAATGTATCCATCGCATGATCAAGACAATTATACTTCCCAAAAGTATCAATCATCACATTGTAAAAATGCCTATCGGGGCGCACCCCGCAACTTTTCATCTCCCTCAAAACCTGAAAGGTCCTCTGCCACTCCCCTTTATCACGATAACCAGCCAAAATCCTACCAAAAACAAAGGAGTTGGGCTGCAAATTGCTTGCTTCCATTTCTTTCAACACAATTCTTGCGCTTTCCCATCTACCTGCATTTACATATGCATCAATAAGAAGACTATAGGTATGCTCATCTGGCAATACCCCGTTCCTTTCCATCTCTGATACAATCCACTCCGCATCCCTCAGAGACCCCGTTTTCACGTAGCCTTTTAACAAAGCATTAAAAGCCCTCGTCCTCGGTTTCAACCCACCTTCTTTCAACTCCTCGAAAACTGCTTCTGCCTCCAAAGTCCTACCAGAATTCCCTAATGCAGATATAACAGCAACGAGAGTAGCTGTCTTAGGACTCAACCCACAACCTTGAGCCACGCCAAGAAAATGCAAAGCCCTGTCTGGATCACCAGACTTGGCAAAACCGACGATCACGTCGTGAAACAACTGCGCATCGAGCTCAATCCTATCCAACTCAATCTCCCTATAAAGCCTTTGCAAAATCGAAGTATCTATCTTATTACTCCGCGTAAGAGACTGAATGATCAAGCTGTAATTGACAAAATCCGATTGGTACCCGTCCTGGCGCATTCTGGACATCAAATTCAGGGCCTTCTCCAGATCGTCGTTACGAGCACAAGCTCCAATCAGGGCATTGTACGTCAGGGGCGTCAGAGTCTGCCTCTGAGACAGCAGAAACGCTTCGTAGAGCTTCTCGGAGCGCCCGAGCGCGTGGATGAGGATCGAGTAGAGAAGCTCGTAGGAGAAGCAGAGGTTGTGCTTCTGGAGCCACGAGACGACGGCGTAGGCGAGCCCAGTGGACGGAGGAGAGGAGCAGAGAGACTTGAGAAGCGAGTGCCAGAGGGGCGCGGGAACGGCGCGGTACGACTCGGCGAGCTGGAACTCGGCACGATCGAGCGAGGTCGGGGACGCCGAGTCGGAGTCCGCGGAGCCTACCGAATTGGCGAGGAAGTTGAGGAGGGGAGCGAAGTCGTAGCGACGGCTTTGGAGGGAGAGAACGTCGTCGTCGCCTTCCACTTCCAATTCTCGCAGTTCATCGCCATCGAGCTCGACGTCGGGGCGGAGTTGCGGAGAGGCGGAGGGAGAGGAGCAGTCGGAGGCGGTGAATGCGCCGGCCGTGGAGGAGGAGGAGGAAGTGGCGGAGGAGAGGAGGAGGAGGGGGTGGTGGTGGCGGAGGAGAGCCGGCGAGTTGGGGAGGTGAGCTGAGGGAAAGCGAGTTGGGATTGGCGGATGGAGTGCGAACATGGCTTAGACTCGCACCGAGAGAGAGAGAGAGAGAGAGGCAGAGAGAGAATCTGCAATGGTGTGGGAGTTTTTGTGGAGGTAGAAGACGGGGAGGGAAGGGGTGTTCTATCGTTACCCATCCGCAGATGCGACGCCGTTCCGTTGCCCGAGGCGACTACCCCCAAAAAAAAGATATAACTGATATTTATCCACTTTATAATTTTTAAGTCCCATATTATTTTTGTATCGAGAAATTTCAGCAATGATATCACGGGTTATAAATATCGTTCGATGGTTAAAAAATCAATGTTGTATATTGAGAAATTTCAATGAGATCTTTGCAAATTACTGACGTAAGTCTTTTGAGAAATTCTCTATGTGCGCTTATGTTATTCCGAACTCGGCCATTGACGTTTCCAGACATGAAGTGAGCTCTCCCCAGTACAAGCTAACTGCGAGTTCAAGAGCGCCAAACGAACCGACATTTTTGAATGAAATGGCTCATTCGTGTTCAAGACGAGCAGGACGGAGAGAGCGCGACGATCTCCGATCATCTGCGGGGCTCGAGAGGGCTCGGCTCGACGGAAGCGTACGAGAGGAGCTCGCCGTCGCGCTGGAGCGCCGCCATGTCCTCCTCGCCCAGGGTGACCCACGCCTCGATCCCGTCCCCTCTCCGCGTCTCGATCAGGAACACCAGGTTCTGATAGACCGGCAGGTTGATCCAGCCCGGGCTGACCCACACCGGCTTGCCCCACCCGAAATCGGCCTCGTAGACCCCGACGTTGAACAGGCTGCTGAACCCGAAGTAGTCCGCCTCCTCGTCCCCGTACACCTCGCTCATCTCCTCCAAGCACTTGTAGACCCGAGACGTCGCCTCCTCGCCGGCCAGTCCCGCGAAGAACTTGACGTTCAGCTTCAGGAGCGACTCTCGGAGCGCGCTCGTGAGGGACTGGAGATTCCTCTCTGATTCGGGGTCGGATCTCGCCGTCGCGATCCAGATCAGGTTCCCGATCATGTGCTCCGGCAGCGCCGCCGAGCTCTTGTTCTTGCTCCGGAGGTTTATCATGTGGGAGAGCACGGACGGCCGCCGCGCGCCGTCCCGGCGGGCCTCGGTGGCGGCAATGCAGCGCCCCCATATGAAGGCTGAGATTGCCTCGATCCAGGTCGGGTGCGCCACCAGCGACGGGTGAGCCGCCGCAGACTTGATTGCCGCAATGGCGGTGGCATCGAAGACGAAGCGCTTGGTCACGCAGGTGCTGAATTTCAGCAGCGCCGGCCAGATCTTGAGCATGTAGTCGCTCGGGATTGACTCACTCTGCAGGAACAGTGACGGAGCGATGAAGCTCGGGGTGACTTCTCCGGCAGATCCGCGCGCAGTGGCCGACCAGGCCTTGAGCAGCGTCACGCACGTTGGGCCGTCGATGATCTTGTGGGAGAGGTAGGCGCCGAGGGGCGATCCCCCCGCACTCGAACACGTTCACCTGGACCATGACCACATGAATGCCATCTCCGTCACTGCTCGTCGATTCTAACAGAGAAGGCTTGTCCGGGAGGAGCTTGCCGATGACTTTCGCGTCGGGGCACGCGAGGACATCAGAGAGGGAGCAGTTGACCTTAGCCTCAGCGTAGGAGATGCCGTCGTCGTTGCAGTCGATGTAGAGGTCGTCCTTGATCTTGCCGGTGAACGGGTAAAACTCCGGCAGGGCCTGGGAGGCGGATTGCTTGAGGCGGCGCAGGGCTTCGTCGGTGGAGAAAGCGGTCGGAGCATCATAGAAGAGGATCATGGGGATGTGGGCGGCGGTGGGGACGAGCTGGTCCAGGAGGGAGAGCCTGTAAGTCCAGAGATGAGCCGGCGTGGGGGAAGATGGCTTGACATGCTCTTTGGAAATGATCTCGACCTCCATTGCTGCGAATTCTTCTGAGACTTAGCTTAGCTTGACGTTTGAAGAAGAAGAAGATGGAATCCGAGTTGTCTCTATGATGAATTTAAAAGGGTTGGCGTTCATTTCGAAGAAGAAAACGGACTTCGTGTGTGATTCTGCGATCAGCGCTTGCTCGGAGTCCATTTTGGTTTTTCTCTGTTGGGTTCTCTTGGCGGGAGATAGCTGGAGCGATCGACATTGTCCGGGGTACGAGAATTCCGAAGAACTACATTGCTCCTTTCTCCTTTGTTCCCACCAACGTGGACGTTAGCCTGGGATTGTCTGTCATCTGCGTAACTACTGTCAAATTCTCTTCACTGTCTTTTTATGCATGAGGAGCCTTTGCCACAAATTAGATGATGTTAGACATCCTTCGATAGCCCCGAAAATAGCGGGAGCACGTTCTGGATCCTCGCTAACAAAGACACCGAAGCTTTTCCAGAAATCATATACAGGGTTGGGGTAATCGGATAACGCGACAGAGGATGCTTCGTTTGATAAAGAAAAGTCGATATATAACCATGAATGCCGTAATTTTTCATAATCTTATTGAACATACCGATAAAGCCTTGCAAGTGAGCCTATTGCACTGTTAGCAGTTAGATGCATCGACATTATGTTTTCTTTAAGCTCGAGACAGCTTTCTCGATGCAGAGAAAAGCTCTCCGCCCAGGAAGCAGAAACTTCGCATGATAGCGCGGGAAAATAGTATGACTTCCAGCTCCTTGGAAACCTTGCAATTTATGGTTTGGATGAGCTTTAGATGTTCTCGCCAGGAGGCAACTCTGCGAGCTTGGGAGAAGTTCCTAGTACTCTTTCCATATCAAAACGAACCTCGATATTCCGTATGCTATAGCCCACAACCATTAGCCAGTATAGAAGCTTGGCAAGTTCAGGTGCACTTGTCTCCTTCACTGTTGTCTGTAAGCACGGATCGCAAGTATAGTCATAATTCATCATAAAGTCAAGGGAATCTGTCTCATCAATACTTGCTAGTGATCAAGATACCCAACATATGAATACTTGCAAGTTCAGTTGTTTTTAGCACATAAACAACTGAAGATTGTGTCTAAGGTCAAATTATTCTCCTTGCAGACATAATTTGCTGTATAGCATGGTTGGTAACAGGGTACTCATTGAGAAAACCAGACTGAATGGTGCAAGGCTATATCATTGCAAGAAAAAAGGAGGAAGATCCTCGGTTTCATAGCCTGCAATACAAGATATACTAAAATGGGGGGAAAGAAAAGCTATTATTAAAACTAACCTTCATTTCACCAGGATCAGAGACAGCAAGAAGGCGCTTTATAAAGGTGTTCATAGCAAGGATAGCGTCTTCACCCGCAGTATTGGTCAACTCCTGCAAATTTTGTGAATAAAAGGGGACAATTTGAAGAATGCACTGGAACAGAAAATGGTAAGCCTATCTAGGAAGCAGTGGCATAATGTAACCATAACATGTAATCATTCATGAAAGCACACAAAAATCAAGGAAGTATGAGAAGCACTGCATTTAACTGACAACCATAAATCAAAATAGCAAATCAGGCACCTCAGAGAAAATGAAGAAAAATGACGGGACATCCTCACCTTAATATTCTGTGGTTCGAGAGTTTTGAGAAATTCCAACAATTCATTTTGTCCATTGGTTGTTCCACCTATTTGTTGATTCAATTCTTCAATTTCTGCTTCAAGTAACTCAATATATTTCACAGCATCAATTTTCTCGGGGCCAGACACATCATTCCACCTGATCACCTCGCCTGACACCTTTTTTTGTGTACCCGGTGCATAATCCGGAGCATCCTGCAATGTGATTAACTGATTTAGCAAGGAACTGACAATAACAATCCCACAACAATGTCAAGTTTCCAATGTTGCATGATCAAACAGCTTACGTAAAAATGAGAATGAGACCCCAAATATCTCTAGCTCACATATTTATTTCAGGCTCCACTTGGACCATTCCCAGTAAAATTTTGCTGATATTCAAAAACGCCTTAAAGCAGATGCTATCTATAAGAGTACCTATGATACATACGCATAATCACTTAAGAACAATCGGGAACACTGGTATATCAACTTAATACTCAAAAGTCAAATCTATGGCTAAATATGAGATTCCAACATGATCAGCCACTGTAGGATTTTCTTGATATTCCAGCATGCCCTTAAAGCAGATGCTATATAAATATAATCACTTATCGAGAGCAAAGGTATATCCGCATAATGTTCAAATCTATGGCTAAATATGAGATTCCAACATGATCAGCCACAGTGTCAAGCTGAGACATTTATCATGCACCTTCATTTAACAGCGATGAGGTCAAACACACCATTAGGAAATACTTTTCCAAAAAGAAAGCATCACACTGAGATCATGCGCAGAGAATTAGTTTTGACAATATGAACTAGCTATGAGAGAGTATAATATTCGGATTAGTGTTCATTTATATTTTTATCAGATCAATCTTAGGCCAGTATAAGTTAATATCTAGTTCCTTTATCCTATTTCGATCCCTTTAGTGAGGCATCATTATCATCAACAAGGTAGACATGCTTTGGAACTAGAAGTAACTACTTTACAATGGACAAACTTCACTTTTCTTCTATTATTTTTTTTCACTTTTTGAAAAATAAAATGCAAAAACTACATATGTAAATAAACCACGACTACTTTACCCACAGAGCAAGACTTAGCATACAAACACAACTAGACTCAAGGACTACATATTGACCTACAAATACACCAGGACAGTTTCAGAACTATATAATAGCATGACACGGTCAAAGCGGAGACTTGCCTCATTATTTTATCTGTCTTATATCTTCACTAAACATGACATACTGAACTCTCATGGGCTACTGCTTAAGTAAAGCAAACCACAAGCATGCATTTGTGACTCCTCGCATATGTTCCTGAAACTAAGCTCGTGCGATTGTCCCATACACTCGAAACTATTATCGCTGCTTTTATGCTCGACTAGCAGGAGCAATTTTCTGGCAGAATCATCAAAAACATCCTTGACGTCTGGCAATTTGATAAGATCCTCAGTCCAATTAAAATATAAGAGAAAGATAACCTTTTTATCTGGCTTTTCGGGGAGAGCAACCTGATCCAAGCTCTGTTGTAATTCTAGGCGGTACTGTGCGTTCCTAAACATGTATCCAGTCATCAGAACGCTGTACATGAGCTGTGCAAGATTTTCAGCAACCTGAGAGAGCCAAAAATAAGATTACACCCACGGGGTAGCCCATCAACAATTATATCCTGTTAATTTCCAGAATCACTCACAGTAGTCACCGTCACTGTGAAAAATTGCGGAGGTAGCGTGCCGATCATATTTGTGACGGTTTGTCTCATAGCATCAACTACCTAAAAACAAAACCATAGAATTCAGCTTTTTCTGTTTTAAGACAAGCAAATACAAGAAGAAATACAGGAGAATAGTCAAACCTGCTGCGGAGCCCTTTTGACAAACAGCTCCATGAATTCCGGTTGCACATTCTTGACATACTCCAGAAGAAGATCTTTCCTGCTTTTTGACTTCACATAAGGAAGATGTGTCAGACACCATATGACTGTACCTTCACAGGTTTAGACAACTCTTCTTAAATAACAGCTAAAAACATCTTTTGTGATGGGAAAGCTACAGGAGACCCATGAAACGTAACTATAGAAGAGGCGGGCATGCATAACTGCAAAATTATCAACCAATACCTCAAGGGAATATTGTTGAGACTAAGCTACGAAATCGAAGTAGAGATAGCCCCTACACCCTCTAATCAGCTTGAAGTCTTCAAACTTTTTCACTTTCAATTCAGTTGCATATTAAATTCTGAAGGTTGATGGATGCCGGACATAAACAATGAAGCAAAGCAACCATTGTTCGCAATGTTGCTATAGTCCCCACAACCTGTATAATCATCAAATTTCTGCGATGTTCGCAAATTGAGTTCAAACGAACATGCTAACTGCTAAGTGGGTCTAGGTTCACAATTATTCGGGAACCACGGACTCCAACATCCCCTTTTTCGACAAACTTTTTCTTCCCCGTATGTCAAACTTGCACCAAGTTTGCCGGGAATCAAACCCCAAACATGTCCCATTCCCTTCCCCACCAAAACCCGTGCTGCGCCACCGGGCCAAGTGCCCAGTGGTACTCCTGACAAATTGCATCGCCATTCGGCTTGGCGAAAAATTCAGACGAAAAAAGACAGCAATTTCACGTTGACAGGCGGGTTTCTACTCGCGGTAATTGGTGGAACCAATCCAGCATCCAAATGCACTCATCTGGAGAATCAAAGCCGTACTTCTCCACCAATTACTGCTGAGCAGCAGAACAATCCGTCGCATAACCACAACCGATGCTAACCAGCAGGCTCCTAATATCGTTCCCAACGCATGTAGCAGACAAATTGAAGAACAGAAAAAGTCACCCAATCACAAAGATGAGAGAGAGAGAGAGGCGTACCAGAGTGCCGTTAGGTGCTTTAGAGTCGCCGTTGTTGGCGGCATTGGAGTTATCGCTCTTGGAAGAACCGTAAGCGGCAATTCTCAAGAAAGGTCTCCTTCGGTTGCTACCGCAACCGTTACGCTCCTTCCTAGCAGTGCTAATCGGAGCGAAGAAACGAGGCTCGTACGCAAAAGAAGCGGAAGAAGAAGACGAAGACGACGAAGAGGACGACGACGATGCGTAGGAGAAAAGCACGAAGGAGGGTTTTGCTGTCAACGAATTCATTTGTCACTCCGCTAACTAACCCTCGCAGGAAACCAAGGAAGCCACCGCGATTTCTGAAAGTGAACTAAAAGATCGCCATTGACGAGAGGACACAGCAGTCAGTGGGTTGGTGCGCAGGAGATAAAAATCGGCGGAGTTCGGCGCGCCGTTCGTTGGGGGGTTGACCCGCGTGATCGGGCGGCTGTGGTTGCAGGACTCGACGGAATCAGAGCCGGAGCCCTGATGTCGTTGAGGCCTCCCGCTCGCTGATCTCCGTTCGCCGTTCGTCTGATTACTTATGATGACTTGACACGACGCCGTGCAAGTAGGTTAGATCGGTTGTCTTGTCGGGTGGGTCGGTTTCGGGGCCCGTTCCAAAAGAATTGGAATCGGGACAAACCAAAACGAATCAATTGTTTATAATAAAATAGAAGCGTTATATCATTTCAATGTAAAAATATACATTGGTCAGGTGTTTATATTATTTTATCATATGTTGAAGATCATGGTCCGATTCTCCATACGTGTGAAAGTGTTCTTTTTTTATCACTTGTTTATACACATTTACTACAAATAAAATCCTTTTATCATAGGGAAAATTTCAATTTGGGTTTCAAAGTGGGGCCATTTTCTCAAAATGGGATCTCAAGTGACTTAGTGCCAAATTGGTACCAAAGTCCCCAAAAAGTGTCAAATAAGAGTGCGGGTCGTCGTAGGCCAAAATACCGCCAGGTAGGCGTATCGCTGATTAATGACGAACAGTGCTTTTTATATTTTTTTTTCTTTTTCTGTTTTTTTCTTTTTTCTGTTTTTTTCTTTTCTTTTCCTCTTTTTTTTTCTCCTTTCCCTCCGTAGGCCATTACGGTCGCCAGGCCTCAAGTGAGGCGGCCATCACCGCGAGGGGGACCCCGGTCGGGCGAGGGTCGCCCATGCGGCAGGCGAGGCCGCCCTCGCCCGCCCCAAAGTGAGGGCGGCCTCGCTCTCCGGATCCCGAGGGGGAGTGGGAAGGCATTGATTACCCCTTTGGTGGAGGTGTGGCAGTGCCTCCGGATCCGACGACTGTTCCGGCTTCTTGATGCCGTTCTTGTGGGTCTTGTAGGACTGGTTGTGCGCGGTGTGGTTCTTCGACTTCGCCATCTCCTCTCTGCCCAAACACGAATCGAATTCAAATCCAAATTCCACAGCTTCAAGATCGAAATTTTCAGCGACAAAAACAGCGACCCAAAACCCGCCGGTGAGGGCGAGGGTCGCCCTCGCCCGCCCAGCCCAGGCGAGGGCGGCCCTCACCCTCGCCAAAAGGGCGACCCAGTGGTCGGGCAAGGGTCGCCCTCGCCGGTGAGGCGAGAGGCCGCCTCGCCGGGCCGGGCGGGTGAGGCGACCTCGCCCGCCCCGAGTCGCCTCACCGGCCGGGTACGCCCCGCCTGAGGCGGCGACCTCCGCCGGCCGCAATGGCCTAGCGGAGGGAAAGGAGAAAAAAAAAAGACGAAAAGGAAAAGAAAAAACAGAAAAATATAAAAACATTGTTCCGTTCTAGAACATCGTGAGATCGCCGCCGGGTATTTTGGCCGACCAAATGACCTGCACTTTATTTGACACTTTTTGGGACTTTGGCACTAATTTGGCACTAGGTCCACTTGGGACCCCATTTTGAGAAAATGGCCCCACTTTGGACCCCAAATTGAAATTTTCCCTTTTATCATATTTGGGACATTTTAATCGCGAAAATGAGTTTTTTTTTGCATAATCCGACACGCATTTATTGCGTGATTAGTCTTTTTTATGATATTTATCACGTGATATACACACTTGCAACAAATAAAATCATTTTTACCATATTTGGCACGCCTTTAAAATGAATATGGATAAATTGAACTTTTATGGATAAATTGAAAAAGATAAGAACATCTGCGAGTTACTTTTGTTTTTATTCCTTCAATATTATTCAAAAATACATTCCGCAGTTGACGAAACTCTGACCACATCAACATAAATGTATTATTGAATTAGGTTAGATACCATGAAAAGAACATCAATCATGTGATTAATTTTTAAATCAGCCAGTTTCTAATTCACGAATAGATTCCGGTATTTGGAATTAAGAATCAATCGGTTTGGTTCAGTTCCCGAGTAGAACCAAACCCAATGCTTACCTTTACTATGCAGCTATAGAGAGCGATTCTTATCTCACCATTAAATAAATTTGAATTGAGAACCGATCGGTTTGGTTCAGTTTCCGAGTAGAACCGAACCTAATGCTCACCTCTACTGTGCAACGCTAGAGAGCGGTTCTGATCTCGCCATTAAGTAAATTTGGATTCATTTTAAGCCTATCCAAGTAAACTGGCGCTCCTTTTGTATAAAGGATAGTTAGAAAAGGGATAAGTGTAGTAGAAGTCCTAAAATTTGTTGCGAAAGTGCAATTAAGTCTTAAAACTTTCAAAAAGTGCAATCAAGTCCTAAAACTTGTCTCGAAAGTGCAATCGAGTCCTAAAACTTATCAAATTGATGCAATTAAGTCCTTCAATTAACACCATCAATTTATTTAATGAAAAATGCTGACGTGGCATTTTTTAAAATTATTTTTTCTTCAAATCTGATTTTCATTAGACTAAAAAATTTAATAAAAAGCTAAAATTTTATTTAAAAAACAAAAGTGAAAAGAAAGAAGAAAATGGCAAGGCCTCGCCGGTGGGCGTTGCTGCTGCTGCCCCCCATCGCCAGAGGAGCCGATGGTGGTCGCTGGCCCTAGGCGAGGCTGGCCGGTCCTTGCCAGCCGCGAACGAGGCGTCGCCGGCCTCGGGCAACTCCAGCCCTCCCCTTGGGCCCGTGACCATCGCTCGCCCTGGGCAAGGCATCGCTGGCCTCACCCGGGGCAGGTGAGGCTCACCGGCCCCAGACGAAGGCCGGCATCGCCCAAATCTAGGCGCCCTCAACCCAGTTCTGGGCAAGTCTCACCGAGCCTAGCGAGGGTCGCCAGCCCTCACCCAAGGCCAGCAATGCCTCGCCCAAGGCGAGCGATGGTCGCCGGCCCCAAGGGAGGGCCAGCGTCACCCGGGCCTAGCAAGGGTCGCCGACCCTTGCTCGAGGCCGGCGACACCTTACCCAAGGCTGGCAAGGGCCGACCAGCCTCGCCCCGGGCCGGTGACCTCCTCCGGCGATGGGCGGCGGCAACGCCCATTGGCGAGGCCCTGCCCTACCCTACCATTTTTTTTTTCAGTTTTATTTTTTAAATAAAATTTTAGCTTTTGTATTAAATTTTTTAATCCAATATTTGAAGAAAAAAATAATAAAAAATGCCACGTAAGAGAGAGAAAATAATTTTAAAATGCCACGTTAGTATTTTTTATTAAATAAATTGATGGTGTTAACTAAAGGACTTAATTGCATCAATTTGACAAGTTTTAGGACTTGATTGCACTTTTTGAAAGTTGTAAGACTCAATTGCATTTTCGTGACGAATTTTAGGACTTCTAGTGCATTTACCCCAAAAGCTAAGTGTCCAATGAGAACAATTTTATGAAAAGCAAATACCAGCAGAATTTTATATAATGGTGAATCATAAGTTTAAAAAATGATTTTACGAGAAGTGTAAGACAAGCAATGCAACATATTCCACCTTAGTTAAACACGAAATATTCAATTAGTATCCGAAAGCCAAAAGCTGTCGGATAAGATGCAGATCGGCTAGTCTATATGAGTGAGCTCAGGCCTGGAGAAAGAGTCGTGTTTCAAACAATCACAAAGGAGCTGTTTTAAGTTGGGGGTTTAAGCGGAATACACTATGGAAAGAATGAATTAATCAAACAATAATTCACATAACTACTGCTACATGAGGGGTTCGGACGAATACAATTGGACTTGAACGATAGAAAGAACAATGCTGAAGACTTAGATCCTCCTTACAAGGGGGCTGCTGGTGGTTCCTCAGAATCGTCAGGAGGGGGTGATGCAGCCGAACCAAAGTCGAGATTTGGGTAAACACCAGGTGGTCTGTCACGGGGTTTGATTGAGAGCAACTGGGTCGAATCGCCGACGACATCTGCCCACCCGTAGTGAGGTTCAGCCCTTCCGGATATTTGCAGAAAATTTAGCAACCAAGTCAGAATACTAATCTCATCTAATCTCCAGAATTAAGTTGTTTGGTCATCCTCAATTAGATAATTATACAGAGTGAGCAAGTTCATACTCGTAATAAGTTTCCTCGTCGACAATGATATCCCAGCTTTCACCGGTCGTGCTCTTCCCATACTTGTGCACCTTCCTGATATAAAAACGGAAGCCAAATGTAACTTGTAGACCTGGAATGCATTAGGAAAAGCAAGCAAATTTCTGGAATAGTGATCTCTCAGGAATCGAAATCAATCATTTTAAGATTACAATATGGGAGGTAAGTGCTGAAAGTTCCATACCCATTTCCAAAGTGTTCCTCCCCCCACGTCCTCGACCATCCTGCACAAGAGAGAAGAGAAACCTTTTCACAAGCTAGACCTCATGCATTAGACTAGCAATGATTCTTGAGTATCCCAATTCAGACAAGAAGCTAGGCATCTGATGATCTACTAGAGGCAAAGCATGAGGTAGTTTCAGTCACCCTAGGGTGAGAGGGGAGGAAGAAGAGCTATTCTGCTTAGCAGCGGAAGGCAGAGGTGGGAAAGGTGAAGAAAGTTACTGATTCAATGATGAAAGAAGGCGAGTGCCGTCGATTTAGCTGTTGATGGCGTAACCGCTCTTTATTTATAAAAATTTATCAAAGCATCAGTCCAACAGAGGCAAGGCGGGGATTCTAGCTCACACCTGGCTCAAATGATTTGATCCCAAGTGTCATCACAAGAAGAAGCTCGTGCCACTGAAAAGGAAGGAGACTTTCCTCGTGTTAGACGAACTGGGATTTGGATCGGTAGAATGAAAAAGGAATTGATTAAGCCTTAAAGACGGCACTGTCCCACGCCCACTACGTGCTAACTAGAAGAGGGGAGTAAGGGTTCAATTCTTTTTTCTTTTTTAGGTAATACCAGGCGAAAGCCAATCCAGGAATGAAGTAACTGGTTTGATAGGACCAGGGGGCGGTTTACTGAACTTCCCATCAGACAATTTTACTATTATCATACCAGTGCTTCACATAAAGTATTCAACAAGATTAACTCTTGCGACATATTCCTGCTCTGTAACCAGAAGACCTCTAAGACTTGAGCAGAACATTATTAAGAATAGTGGAGAATGGGAATACTCGCTTTGGTTGCTGGTTCCATTTTTGCATATGTGAAAAACCAGCCCTGTTTAGAAATAAGCTATATCCTGTTGGGAAGTTAAGTATACAAATTTTAGCGTCCATGTGTTCTTTCTGATATTGCTGTCCAGAAAACTATAGGTCATTGCACCTTTTGTGCAACAAGGACGCCTTGGTTATAGTTGCATGTTTTATCCTCTCAAACATGTCCACCAGAGGAAGAAACTGTAAAAGTTGATGTGGCTGCAGACCCTCCACACATGTAACCTGCAGCTAAATCAAAGAACTTCTCTAGGGTTGAGATCAAGGACGAACGTAGACCTAAAAGTGCTGTTGGTTAGCTTCAGTTTTCAGAAAAAGTACATTATTCGGTAAATGTAAAACGATCATTCAGGTTATATTCTATTTCTGTGAAAACAGAGCCTGCATTTCACCCAACAGCTGCTGCAGATTAGTAATCTTATATAGGTAGAAGCAATCATTCAGCAATTTCAACTTTGATACCACCATAGGGATGTGGGTTGTAGACACTAAGCATTAACTCAAATTTCTGAGCAAAGATGTTTCAATAATTATTTTAGATAAATTGGGAAAGGTAAGGAAGAAAGAAGTAGACATACGTTCGCCAGTTGGAGATACATGCCATGTCTCCCCTTGACGTGAACCTATGCCAGCAAAAAATTTATCTTCCCACTTGTCTCCCCATTTGGTCCCAAGCTCTGTCTCCGCCCATTTATCTGTCCTGAGAAGATGATTCCACAAGAAAGGTTGATGATAATAAACTTACAGCAGTTTCAGAAGATTTGATCAATCGTTTACGCATGGAGTTCTAAGGAAAAAGTATATGAACTATGTAAATCATGTGGCATGGCATGGACAAAGTAAAAAAACAAAACAACCTTCTATGTGCTAGAAAACCTGTTAGTGTGATTTTTTTTGTTTTGGGTCAGACTGTTAATAACATATTTTTACTAAATACAGCAATCAGGCTGCTATTACCACCATTAAAGATACTCATTTCCACAACATAATTTCAGCTCAAAGTCCATCAGTCTTCTATGCTTCAAACAGAACAGAAAATGAAATCCTGCCCATTTCTCAGAACAGTCGGAATTAAAAGACTCATATTCAGAATCTCAAATAGACCAAGTAAGATAGAAACTAAAATTGAGTACTAGGAATACCATTTTAGGACAGATCCTCGTCCGTCAAAATTCTCTCCCCATTTTTCCCACCACGACTGTTCATTCAGTCTACCATACTTTTGTGCCCCTTTCTCAGTCCACCCTTTGGCATCATACTTCTCCCACCTAGATTAAAAATGATCCATCAACCATATGTATACCAGACGTTGACATCCCCTATGTGCACAAACTATGAGAATAAATGAGCATTATCGTACCACAATATTTACTTACCATTTCTCAAACCAACCAGCATTCTCAGTGCCTGACTTTGCTTGTTTCTGTGCACTCCTCTCTATCCTCGCTAGGTTGCTGTTAGTTTCAAATGGTACCGCTTAGATATTAAATTGACATACAGCACCGAATTTAGATCATGCAAATCAAGAAATAGATCTCTTGAGAGCAAGAGAGGAAAAGGGACACTCTGAAGGGAGTACCTCCATTCATCTTGATACAAAACTTCGTTCCATGTTTCCCACCATGAATCCCCTTCTGCATTTTTTCCAGATTTCTCTACTCCTATGGCATGAACAGAATGATGAGCAAGTTTTAGCCCCCCCCCCCCCCCAAAAAAAAACAACATGAAGATGCTACTTACGTAATTTAGACGTAGTAAAAATGGAGGAAATCTGAGTACCACATTCCCATAAATATGCTACTTTTTTTTTTTTTTGGTCGAACCATAAATATGCTACTTATGCTACTTATGTTAATATTCCAATGCAAAAAATTTTCCCTGCCCAACAGGGTCATCAAACAAGGGATCATCTATATATATATATATATAGGTAAAAGCAATGAGCTAGTGAGAAACAAGAAGCCCAGTAACCTAATAATAGATGCACTGAATAGCAGGAAATTAAGGCTGTGGAAAAGGATTTCAAAATAAACCTGATGGTAGAAAAGCTGAGTGTCACAGTTATAAGCGACTGACTTTACTGTAGTTTGGTATTTAATAATTGCCTTTCGAACATTTTTTTGGTCCATTGAAGACAACCAAGATGAAATACCATGAGATTCGTGGTTGAAGATGACACCATGAAGTTTGATTGAGATGGTGGAAGGGTAAGCTTCCTCATTCACTAGCCTAGGGTCGAAACTTGTGAAATTGTGAATGAAATAAGATATTAACCAAAACTATCTTCATTATTAGTGAGACACTACTTGGTAAGTGCTTGCTCACAGGATAAGATGGCTAAAATAAAAAAATCTATCATTTAGTTAGATACTTGGAGCCAAAAGAGTTTAACGAGCAATGCCATTGACCAGCTTCGAAGACTCATTGTCAATAAATTTTATGCTGAGAGAGGTAGCGGTTATGAGCAATTACTAGAATTCTGATATGTATGCATGAATAGCTTTATCCCCACTATACCAAAGTTAAAGTACATGCATACGATATTTGAGAGTGTGAGGAATGTACCTAGCTCTTTGTAACCACTCCAGTCACTTTTCTCCCACCACTGTCAGGAGATCAATTGTCAGTAAATCAAATATAGTGCATCCACCTGGGATGATGCTCAGAAAGTTATGAAAACAACACTAGTGCAGAAAGGGGAAATCATCATTAGAATCACCGATCATTGAGAAGCTATTACTTAAAAAAAATATGTTCTTGAAAGCAATCTAGTTGTTTGTATCAAGTTCCGCATATACACAATGCATACATACATACATGAAGAACTGTAGATGGACAATTTTATTACATGGAGATACAAGGGACATGCATTCGTACAAAGGACAACATTTAACAAGGCCTCCGACCATTAGTTAAATCTAAAGAACTTCCCTGACGATCATCTCATCGTTCACACAGATTGACTTAGAAATTTGTTGATATCTCCTTCCACAAGATGAGAAACCTAAAACCAAACTTCTCTCTGCATGATAAAAGTCAATCTAAAGTATAAATTGGTCAGTGTCCCTACTCTATATCTAAACTCTGAATATCCAGAGAGATGCAGCGGAGATAAAACTAATGATTCTTTTGCTTTAGCAAGATTAAATCTAGTGTTTGTAACAAGAAAAAATGAGGAGAGAACACAGATCGAACTTGGACTGTTTAAAATCATGTTGACCATAATGACAGCTTTCATAGTTTTAATTTAATCCCTAAGAGCAGTATATATGTGTCAATGTGTCATCAGATGGTTCTATACCGTTTCTTTCCATTCTGAAGAACCGTCATGAGATCGACCGCCCATCCTTGCCCATCTACATCTGTATCCATTATCGCCCAAGTCTTCCCCGCTCTCTCTGTACCAAGTACTGCCATCTTCATTAGTGCCAGTCTCATTAACGTTTTCATTTAACAAGTTGATGCCCCAGTCCTTCTCATTTGCGATACCGGTGTCTACAGTGGAGGAATCAACCAGGAGATGCATAATCAGACATCAGGTTCTAGATGCTAGTTTATCCCGTGAATCAAGAATTACTAAAGCTGTGATTTTTCCACTGTTATTGACTTATTGCCATGCATATTAATGTTTATGACACATTAAAATAATGGTACCGAGAAAGTATTTAATGTTACCTCTCTTCGGCGGTGAATCACGGGACTGTGGACCAGAGTTTCTCGGGGTACATCGCGGATAAAACCTTTCTTGCTTGGAGACAAAATGAGACCTGCAGAATGAAGTCGTTTGATACCAGTGAGATATTAGACTGCTAGCTGATGATTGCTCCGTGGAGTGCAGCAAAAGATTAGTACAATGAGCACTGTCATTTGCATTGAAGAGCCCAAGGAGGAACAACTCAATGCCATAATTTGTGTCATTCAAATGATGCGAGGGTAAACAGAATTATGCAAAATACACTCACTCTGTTCTTATAGAACAAGAATCAGTTTGATTATGTAATGAGCTCCTTTAGGATAAATTCGTAGATTCTCGCACTCCAACGGGGTTGAAACAAGAGTAGGGAAATCGCATCAATCATCTATGAGTGATTCAGTACCGATTGGATAACCTTTTAATATGTAGACATCACTATTCTCTCTAATCACAGGGAAAACCAAAATTTCAAGGCTTTCCACCGTTTTCGAAACCTAAATGCTCAACCTCCTACTGCTACACAGAAACCCACAATTTTCAAACGGCCGGCAACTTCGTTCCCTAGTTGACAATGACATTAAAAACGGAAAACGGAAAGGAAAGGTTCGCTTCAGAAGGTTTCCAGGTTCATATAACGCGAGATAACTTGGCAGGGGGGAAGAACATAACTTTCACCAGTTTTCAGAGTATGACATCATAGAAACGAAATTGCATGCACATTGGAGAAGACATGCGACTGCGAGCGACATGTTTGTCCTAGACAGTTGGAACCTTCGAATTACTAACTGCAATCCACATATTTCTCACATTCTAATACATCCAAATCCCTAGCGTGCCAAAATTATCAATCGAGAAAAACAGGTCGCATTTCACGAATCATTCGGCGGGGGCCCACGTACTGTGGAGAAGCGAAGGGCATCGCGGGCGTGGGAGCGATCTTCATCGATTCGAACCGCCAGTCGTCACTCTTCTCCGGGCCCTTCCCGGCCGTCCTCCGGGCCGGAACCGCCGAGTCGGAGCAGCAGCACCCGATCCGCCCCGCCCCGGCCGGATCGCCCCGTCCATCCACGCGGACAGCTCTCCTCCTCGCCCTCGCCCTCGCCCTGTCCCCCAGCTCCAGCGTCGTGCCGCTCCGGGGGAGCGCGAACTCGAGCCGGAAGTCGAGCTGCGTCGCAAATCCCGTGGAACCCGCCGCCATTGTCCGCAACTTCACCAGAATGCCATGGGCAGAAGGAGGAGGAGGAGGAGGAGGAGAAGGAAGGAGGATGAGGAAGCCCTAGCAGCGGGTGAAACTGGGGAGCTCGAGGACCCAGGAGACCGCTGGGGGGAGAGCCGTATTGAATGGGAAGAAGAGTTCTCGTTTTTTCTTTCTTTTCAAGTCTCGAAAGCAGGAGGAGAAGACCTGTGTTGGGTTTGGTGTTGGGGGGTCTAGTCAGACGAAGAAGACGAAGCAGCAAAAGAAGGTCTCTATAAATTAATGAGCACCCAGCGGGGAAAGCATCTTTGCCTTGGTTCTTCGCTGCTGCTGCTTCTTCTTCGGCGAGATGAGATGAGATCAGATCGGTAGGGTGCGGGGGGGGTTGCTCTGCCGTTTTCTGTGACGAGAGACCGAGACTGCGACCGCGACGAAGATGGCCGCTGCGATCCCCGAGATTAAATCATCCACGTGAGCAGGTGGGTCCCGCGGGACGGGATTTTGGAATCCGTTTTGCCTCATTGGATTTGCCACGTGTCGGCCCGCTCGCAACCCCACCACCACCCCCACACCAACGCATCGTTTTCTCTTTTGCTTGATTACTTGATTAGGGCCCCCTTCAGAGCCACCGCTTGCCGGCTGCCGTGACTGGCAATGGCGTTTCATTCTCGCAGAGACCAAAGACACGGCGTGTGGCCATATAAGCTAACAAGTTTGCACTGGCACTGCTAAGTCGAGTAGCTTCCATCTCTAAGTTTGCACGATGCTGGATCCTTCCGTGAAAAAACCCCCTTACATGTTTCTAAAATTATGAGCCAGATTGAGAGAAGAATTCAGACATTGCGAAAATGGTAACATATAATTCTTAATTCGGAGGAATTTGATAGTATAGTTTGTTTTTTCTTTTAAACCGCTTCGTCCAGTTTATTATTAATCAAAAAGGACATATTCTTGACCATTTACAATTCTCAACCACAATGTTGTAGTGTTCCCTACTTTTTTGCACATAAAAACCATATGAATCTTTGTGGCTCTCCGGGACAAGCGTGACCATCTCAATGACACCCGACCCTTCAATTTAGATATCTGACAGATCTCAATTAAGCATTAATTTTGGAGAGAAAATCGAAAAGACATTGGTCATGTAGAATGACATCCACCCGCTCCTTTCTTATTTGGTATATGGTCCATGATGAAGATGCATATGATAAAACTTCTCCACCGCGCTTATCTTCCAGCCACGTCAATATCACCATAAAAAACACAAAGATAATCTCGATTGATTTCTTAATAAAATTGAAGACAGGAAGTCGTAAGGAATGCGACTTCACACCTTATCCGAGTGAAGTCAGCACAGCACGGATCCTCAATTTTTTCCACGTAACGCCTGCTCAGGACACGTGTCGCGATCCCGTATGCCCGCGACATGGCAGAGCACCTGTTGACACACCACGAGGTTAAGCTCATCCAAAGATGTGGATAAGCTAAAATGCGTGGCGAGCTTACGTGTCACGAAGGACGTGGCGGAGATACGCGGTGAGGGAGAGCGCCACGTGTCGAGGGGAAAAGGGAAGACGCTGCTCATGCTGTTGACGAGGAAACAAGACCAAGAGACCGGGGACGGGACAAAGAGTTTCACTGTTTTTCCGGATAAGCTTCGCGTCACTTCGTACTGAATAAAAAGTCATCGCAGACAGGTACCCTTGTCGCAATGAGGACGACCATATGTAGGACGGAATTAATTGAGGCATACAAATGAGAATAGGAAAAGAAAAAAACTTCAAAAAAGATTTCATTGGCTCGGTGGATCCTCTCGTCAGAGGAGGACGAGAGGATCCATCAAGAGGATTCTCATTAGGAGTGGCAAAAATCAGCCGGTCATATTTGGTACGGGCATCACTTCCGAGTTCGAATATCCACCATCATATTGCAGAAGAAAATACTGATGGAGTTTCAAGCATTGGCCACAAGAAATAGCATAGGCAAGTTCAGACCCAAGCAAAGCATCCAGACGACAACAATCTTGACGTCTATTACGGCATTGAGAATCAATACTGATCCGGACTCCTATTCCTCATAAGAAGGAAGTGACAAATTTGGCCAATTTAAGACGTTCTGCCACAATTTCAAAATAAGAATTAGAAAATCCTGCAAATATACCAATAACATACAGCAGTCACTGGGAAGAGATAGCTTAGACCAGCGGAACCACATTCGCTAGCAGCAAAAGAATAGCTTACTTCCTCTACAAAGTACCGTCTTCCAATTGAGCAAGAATTTCCTCGGGACAATCAATGGAGAAAAATACAATGAAGAGCCTCCCTCCATGTATGAAGTAGAGAGCCAGTACATAAGCATTCCATCAGAAAGTTGTGAAGGAAGCAAAAACAACCCGGCAAAAGTTTTATAGTGATCTAATCAATTTTTTTCCTTCAGGTGTCAGCGAAATAATGCTCGTTGAATACAGTTTCAGAAAGCACGTATGGCCTAACAGATCTTGCCTTAATCGGTTGCAAATTTCACTTTAACGATCCAAAATCAGAGAGCTTTCCAAGGCTTGGTAGAAGATACATGCTCTCTCAACCATACCTTGCTCAAAATCAATGATTCGAGAAAATATTCTACAAATGAGAATCAAAAAACTTAGAAACAGAAGAAATAATAAGTCCTTAACCAACCAAAAAAGCAAGAGAAATACTTCATAGGATCTCCAGACGTAATATGCCAGGACAGCAAAGGAGCAACGAATGTACCTAATTTAATGTCCCAGAACTCATTTTCTGGACAGGTAGGGCTTCACTGATTCTACAACCACCTGTTTTCAGGAAAACAGAGAAGAATACCACTGTGGTTAAACTTCCTGATGCTGAGTTTAGATAAAGATTTTTTTTATCACTGGAAGTGTGGATATGCTTGTAATAAAAAACACCTGTCCAAAGTTTTTAAACACGCCCATTGTTAACATGTCAACCACAATTCCAGAATTGCATGTCAAACAATACAAAGGAAAAACAACCCTCATGCTGATGGGATTTAATTGTTGAACAGCATTTGGTTGTTGGCTGTACTAATCATGTTTCGATGGACATAAAGTTTTTGCAGCATGCCAGGAATGGAAGACTATGTGGTTCATTAGTCTGGTTGCTGAAATGAAACCCAGTTTTCACCAAAAATCTATTGAAAACAATCGTCATCGCACTGAGCAATGCCAGCAACCAAACTGTCCTATGATGGAGAAAAACTTCCAGATATCCATGATTTACTTATCAAGGTCAATAATGCTTACCCGCCCATCATATGACACTGATGCAAAAATCCATGGTTCTCGTGAACTCCACGCTAGGTCTACATCAACAGTTAAAATTAATTAGCCTGCTAAACAGATAGCTAGTGCTTAAAGAATTCCAGTGCCACAGCAGTTACCATAAACACTGTCTTCATAGTCATTGTATGAGTGGAGCAATGGGTCGAGCTTTCTGGTAGGTGAGTCAATTAACCTACAAAAATGTAAGCATATAGAATCTTTGACTTATCTTGAAATGTAAAAGAGACAGATTTGACAGATGCACAATGAAGAATTTAACCTCTCAGATATCAGCTCATCACTGCTCGCAGCAGATGACCACCACAAATTGACAGCCGAGTCTGTACCTGCACTCTGTAACAGCATCTTTAATTGAAAAATTACCGAGACTGAAACAGTCTTAAGGGGGAAAGAAACAGCAGTGATTTTCCATAGGGAAGATCATATGGACATGAACGAAGCAAACTGGTAGGATTTCTCATTTCTCGTCTTTTTCCCTTTTCTTTAATTAAATGAGTACAACTTGTAATGTAAGCCTCCACACGTCAAAAACTTTGCAAATTCTCATAATACAATAAACATCGATATTTTTGTGTTCATGGTGTGAGTTTCAGAGAGAGAGAGAGGAAGGGACGGAGGGATGGAGGGAGAGAGAGAGAGAGAGCACCAGAATCAGTCCTTCGTACTCAGGATTACACCTAACAGCCCAAGTCCTGCCAATAATTTGAACATGTTACAGGAAGAAAATTTGTAATGATAAATCGTCCATAGATCACGTAACTGTCAAACTAAAACAGATGGAATAGAATACTGTACCAGTGTGTGTGACCAGGAAGCTCTTGAATAGGAGCTTTAGGCATTCTAAGATCCCATACGCGTAAACCAGATTCATCCTCGGAGGTAACCTGTAACAAATGGAAGCAATTTTACTTAACAAAGAGGACATGAACAGATGATAAATAATCAACACTATTCTCTAGAGAAGAGAGGGGACCCACGACAAGAAAAACAAAGTATGTGCAATTCTCAAAATTAAAAAGAGTACTTGAATGTTGAGTTTCACGTGGAAGTACTCAAGGCACCCATACAGCCATGATTAAGCTCTGGTAAAATCATCTTTTATCGCTAAGACATCCTTAAATCTTCGAATGAAATGAACTCTCGTGTTACAAAATAATATCGCCGTTTAGTGGCATGCAGGGAGTAGTCGCCATGAAGTAATGAAAAAGAAAAAAGTTTTCTTTCCTTGATGTGGCTAAGATGTTAGTATTGAGTATCCATAACAGGATATAGAACTCAATATCACGATTTATACTCTAATCAAAAGACTAAAGGCTCTCTGGTCTATCCAGTCCCTTTCCTAAAAGGAAGCAAACTGCATCGTGGCATACCATGATATCACAAAGAACCTAACTCACATCCTTTATGACTCCCTGCTAAATTCCTGATACTACATCTGTGGTTCTCCTGATATACATAATACACAAAAATGCTTATTGTGACGGTTACTCACTCATGGAGTTTTCTTTCCCTTATTCGATGCACTGGGTAGCCTATAGTTCATAGAGCCAACTCCCACATGAAAAATTAGTGGAGCCAGACATAGATAATCACACCGAGTCAACTTCCAGGAAAGATCATTCATCTCCGGAAACAAAGTCAATGCCTACATACCATGTGCAAACTAGAAAGTAACTTGCTCAAGGAAGTCACTTGTGCAGGTGATCCATGTTAGAATTGATATCATACGTGGCACATCTGCTTTTCAATGTACAAATTAACGATAGCACACTACTTCACAAGACATATTTCCCACAAAATGAGATTTTAATATGGATGTTTTAATGCAATACCCCTTGCTAACACTGTCTTCTCTATAAGGTCCACATACTCCATGTCTTTCTTCAGATTGACTCACTGACTTCATCTAAACAAGATCCCTGACCCAACTTATTTGATAAGTGTCCTCAACCAATTGCAAACAGGGTATTCTGTTCATCAATCCATACCCTCATTCTCTTTAATACAGCTGGTGATTTGACTGCCAGAGAATGCATATAACTAGCTTCCCATTCAGATAAACTTCTGTAGCTTGTGCTTGGACATCAAACAGAAATATGTGATTAACCATTTTTATTCGAGCAATGTACTGAAATCTCACAATATACAAGTTCTTAATTTCCTGTTGTGGACTAGCGCTTAATTCATCAAATTGGTGCTCAGTCAATATGCTAGCATCTTTCAATAATCCGTGGAACGTGATTCTTCCACCAAGCTGGTAAAATGGCACGAAATAGACCCATACTTTATGCCTAGCCTATTCATACGATAAGTTGCTAGACTCTTCTATCCACTGCAGATTGGAAACCAAGTTTAATGAAAATCCCTATTCTCTTAACCTTGCGCAAATTATGTCCTTAAACACTACCAGTACGTCAAGTGGAACTAATGTCAAAAGGAAAATTTCAGTCTAGCCTCCCGATTCAGAACAACTTTTCAAAGTCATAAATTGATTATTTAATTAATGCATATGCTAAAATGTCTTCGAAGCATCCTCGATTAATCTAATCAACACAAGCAATAAATCAAATATACATGAAAATAGATGCTGGATTCCATGGATGCTTTCTTACAAGTAAATGCCTCCTTTGTGTGTCGTAGTCTAGGTCACGAGCATGGACAGATTCTAGTGAATTTGCTTTCCTGTCACCATATGAACTCCGTCAGCACACACTCCAGAAACTTGTAGAGTGTCCACAGGATGAGAAGATACTAAGCAAGCAAAACTCAAGCTAGCTCCATTTCAGTTTATTACCCTCGAAGTTACAATTACTTGGAAACAGGGGTACACCACCTGAAAATTTGCCCCGAGTGGCAAATGGTATGTTCATCTTAAAAAGAAATCAAAGCAAACACAATTACTTCCAGTTTAACTGGTTATTGCACTTTTATTCTTCTTTGGAAGAAAAATATGCAAAAAGAAAACGGCGAAAAGTGCAATGCACTTTTATTCTTCTTTGGAAGAAAAATATGCAAAGAAAAAAACAGCGAAAAGTGATAAAGAAAACATCTAACTATGAATAGAGCACTTATGAATAGAGCACTTAACAGAACCAATACATGAACTGAACAAGGTTCATCAACCAACTGCAAATAGAAAAGGGGGTCACATCTCAACTTAGAAGCTATGCATCAAATGTGGATAGGATGATGAAACCTACTGCATAGTCCGAAGATCCCAAAATTGGATTGATGATTCACAGGTTGCAGCGACAGTATTTACATCATGTGGATCCCATGCTCCACCAGAGAGGTAGTGCAGCATACCAGCAGACTCCTGTGAATGGACCTAGAATTTGAAACAAGACCTGAATAAGGATCAGCAAGTAAGGATACGAATTAAAAAGGACATATCACACAGTGCAAGATTGCTTTTTTTTTAAGAAGGTAAAGGTAAATGATACAAAGACAACACTTATGCATCTGCAGACTACATTAAGCACTGAGATGGACCCAAAGTAGAGCGTGTTTTACTCAATTTTTCACCAAGAATGTTAAATGGCTCTGCGTCATACAATTACACCATATCCTTAAAAAGAGACGAGAGCACAAATGCTACAAGAGGCACACAGACATAGATGACTACTTCTCACTCTTCATATTGTCCATTTCCCACAAATACTATTACAAGCACACTGCATCAATTGGTCTTTCACCTATCTCCACACAACCAAAAAAAAAGGATTATCCATTGTCATTTCAACATCAACTAGAACACTCATGTGAAAACCATATGAGTCCCATGGAGCCAAATAAGAGGCTTCTAGAACTCCTTGCAAAAAAGAGCTCAACGGTTTTTGTATGGGTACAAAACATTGTATCTACATCAAACAAAGTGACTCTGGACCATGTCAATATAATTATCCATTTACTTCTCTTCCCTATCTGCTCTACCGGTTGTCTTACATCACAGAATTAAAAGGAGATGGCAAAGGAACTATATTACTTATAAATATCTAAAGAACATATGGGAGAAGTATATAATCCATTTCATTCTTAAAGAAGTAGCCAGTAGAGAGGTTCCATTAGAATATACCCGAGCCGACTTCTTTGAACAATCTAAGTTCCATAAGAAGATGTTTTCCTCATCAATACTAATCAACTTGTCATGCCTTCCAGACGGCCACCAGAGAACACTGTTGCAGGCATTCCCCAAGTCAGCAAGCAAAGTAAAGTTTTCAAATGACAAAATAGGGAGACTATGCTAAAGAAGCCCACCAACTGATCTTGCGTGAATGCGCATCAAGTGAGGCAATTTTTTCCAAATGAGGAGAATTCAACTGTCCATATAACTCAGGAATCTGCCATACAGCGGCTCCATAAGATTCACCTTCAACAAGAGGAGGATTTTCAAAACACATTCCAACTAGTCCTTCAATCTTAGCTAATGTTATCATCCAACAAAATCAACCCATAAATAAGGGACGCTGTAGCTGAATGATGATTCATCAAAAGAATTAACAATTCATACGTAAACTTACTTGACGTGGATATAATTCACATTACACCTCCTGACTGAAGAACTATTACATTAAAAATAATATATCGTCATAAACAGACTTCCTAGATCAAATTCATGAGAGAAGAAAACAATCGCCATTTAGTGATTTGCTCTAACCTTGGAAGCATTCATAGGTAAACAAGGGCGGAGAGGTTAACAAATTTAACGGGACGAAAACAAATGAAATTACAAACTCCGTCAATCTGTAGAATTGAATCACATACAACAGAAAATGCAGTGACAGTGTTTCACAGAAATGATCGTCTACTCCAGAGGATTGAGCCTCACTAGCCGAAAACATCGATACTGAAGAGTAATAATCGCAGCTTAGCAGCGGACAATGCATGCAGTAGAACCCATATAAGCAATCAAATCATCGAGGCTCGGAAAACCAAATCAAACCGAAGAGCCGGCACATTTGACCGAGCGACCAACAGCATCATCAGGACACGCATTCGAGCAGATCATGGATCGATCAATCACCAGTGGAGAAAACAGTAGAGAAGATGCGCTGATCGAAGGGGCAGGAGGAGAGGTCCCAAATCTCGTTCGGGTGCGAGAACAAGCCCTCGCAAATCAGCTCCGTACCGCCCGACGAGAGCCTCAGCAGATGGACCTGACGGAGAACGCATCGATTATAGATTCGGCCAGATCGAAGCAAGCCCGCGGGCGAGCGAGAGAATTTGCGAACAAGTCGCGCGAGACGCACCTCGTTCTCTTCCTTGAGGCTGAGGGTTCCGGTGAGGAAGCTGGTGTGGTCGGTGTCGGCCTTCACGTCGGAGATGCACCTGGCCTGCGAAAAATCCGGCGGAGAATTCATCAGGACGAATGAACGGAATCAAGGATCGAGGAGGGAAATGTGGCGGGAGGGAGGGAGGGACGACTGGGGGGGTTTCGACGGATGTTGGACCTGGTACTTGAGGCCATAGCCAACGCCCGACGACCCTCCCTGCATCGATGCGGTGAACTGTGATCGCCGATTGAGCTGAACTGACTTTTGCTGAATCGCGTTTTCTTGCTATTTTGCCGTTTGCTTAAACTCGCGAGCTCTCTCTCTCTCTCTCTTCGGTGCGACCTGGGAACTGCGACGAAATCGCTAATGGGCCTAAGGCCCAGCCCAACTAATGTGGGCCATGATTGGTAAATGGGCCTCAGGCCCAATTAGTGAGAGCTCAGGATATGAACTCTTCCTACGTCTTGCTACCCATGGAACTAGCATTTCCACCCCATGGTTATTAAGGGCGCGAATGGTTCCAGAAATCAAATTCTTGCCAGAAATTGATTTCTGGAATTCTTGCCAGAAATTGATTTCTGGAGGAGAAATCTGTTTGGTAAAACATGACTAATTCTGCTCCAGAAATTGATTTATGGAACAGAAATCTGTTTTGATTTGTTGATTTTTTTTGCACCTAAAAAAATTTAAATTTTACTCAAAGTGAGTGGCCACATGTATTATAAGCAATTCTGTAAAGTTTTGAAATTTTTGATTTTTTTTAATTTTTTTTGGGCACCTAAAAAAATTTAAATTTCACTCAAAGTGGGTGGCCACAGGTATTCTGCCATTTTGTGAAGTTTTGAATTTTTTTATATTTTTATATTTATATTTTTTTATTTTTTTATTTTTTTGGGCACCTCAAAAAATTTAAATTTTACTCAAAGTAGGTGGCTACAGATATTCTAAGCCATTCTGTGAAGTTTTGAAATTATTTATTTTATTTTTTTTGGGCACCTCAAAAAATTTAAATTTCACTCAAAGTGGGTGGCCACAGGTATTTTAAGCCATTTTGTGAAGTTTTGAAATTTTTTATTTTTTTATTTTTTTTATTTTTTTTTTGCACCTCAAAAAATTTAAATTTCACTCAAAGTAGGTGGCCACAGGTATTTTAAGCCATTTTGTGAAGTTTTGAAATTTTTGATTTTTTTTTGGGCACCTCAAAAAATTTAAATTTCACTCAAAGTGGGTGGCCACATGTGTTTTAAGCTATTCTGTGAAGTTTTGAAATTTTTGATTTTTTTTATTTTTTAAAAAAAAATTCACCAAATTTCATATTTTCCCGAAATCTGACTTTTTTTTTTATTTTCTGGAAATTTTTATGAATTTTTCTAGAATTTTTCAATTTTTATGCATTTTCTGAAAAAAAAAAATTTGTGAGAAAATAGAGAGAATGCATTCCGGAATCAAGAAGCTACAAAAAGTAGATTCTCTTTTTCTTGCCAAAAACTCATTCCGGAATCAAAAAAGCATTCTGGAATCAATAATGCATTCTGGAATCAAGTATTTTTAGGGTGCGCATGGAATCCATTCCGGAGCAAAATTTCTGCTCCGGAATGCATTCCGGAACAGAATGACGTTTATTAAAAAATTTCCGGAATGCATTCTGGAATAATTTTTGCATTCTGGACAAAAAATTCATTTGGTAAAAACGCATTCTTTTTTTAGTTCCGGAATGCATTCTCGCATTCGGAATGCGTTTTTCACCGAAAAAAAGAAGCTACAAAAAGTAGCTTCTCTGCTTTCGGGATGTATTCTGGCTTCTCCTTCAACTCTTCAGTTTCGTTCCACTCTTCATGCCCTCCTTCCCTCCTTGCAAGCGCACCGGAACCGTCGCCGCATCCTTCCCCGAAACCGCCGCTGCGTCCTTCCCTCCTTGTGACTGCACCGGAACCGCCGCCGCGCCCTTCCCTCCTCGCGACAGCACCGAAATCGCCGCCACACGGGGCGGCGATCGATTTGGCCCTCCATCTCTGCCGTCTCCGTTTTTTCAAAGGGGCTCGTGAGTCTTCGATTCCTTCTCTCGTTAGCTTTTTCCTTCGGTGCAATCGGCGGTGCGCAACGCGGCTGTCCGTTTAGGGCACGCAGCCCGTGCGGATCTCGCTCGATCGAGTCGGAATCGAAGGAACGAGACGCCGCGAAGCAGTCTGGCGAGAACTCTCCATTCCTAACGTAGCGCTCTCCTTTGACTCGCAGCGGATCTTCCCACCCAAGTATCACTCCGCCTTAACACGAACACAGAGCAGAAAGAACGACGGAAGCTCAGAATCATGTCCATCTCCGACTCTGGCTACTCTTCGGTCTTATGCAAAAGGTAATTCGTATGAAGCTCTCTCTCTCTCTGGGAATGAGAATTTCTGGTGTTGGGTCTGGTTGACCTTATGCTCTTGAGGCTAGAATTAAGATCCCCATGTTGAAAACTCTCGGTCTTAGGCTTGGGTCTCACAATCATCTCCGTCGCTTTTGCATTTCTTCACATTTCGGTCATTCTTAGGGAAGTTCTTCTTCTATGGATTGGTTAAATTAGTTCATTTTGATTATGTATCGTCTGTCTATTATAGATTGCTTGTTATGGCAATGGGGAAAGCATTATTCTGTTCTTTTTCTTTGTGGCCAGTAGACTAAGTTTAGTCTTTTTAGGTTAACTCAGTTAGATGTTCTGGTCCGAGTCATCTCATTTTTGGGATGGGGATTCATTATAGTGTCACTGTCTCTTTTATGGGTGACTATCTAAGAGCAATGTGGTTCTATTATGAAGAGATCACTCTGAGTTGCTTTTTATGTTTGATTCTTCTTTTCAATTGAAATTTTATGTATCCGTTTGCATTATTTACTACGACAATACAAAAGAATTTCCTTTTTATTGTTTTTTGACTGACTAAGGGTGATTCATCTGTCTTGTTCCAGCTCTTCTAATTTAATAAATGGAAGAATAGAAATCTAGTCAATGATGCTACAGCTTATTGGTTTATCTAATGGAATTGACTTCTTAGGAGCGATACATTCTTGCCAGGGACTACACTCTTCTAAGAAGCTGCCTTCCTCTGCTTCCTTGCTTGTCTGATTCTGTGGTATTTGTCTACCAGCTTAGTCCCTTACAAAATTGATCCCCGGTCTATTTACATGTGCACTTTTCATGTAATTTATGTCTTGAAAGAGGCATAGTTCTTCCCTTCTATATCTTTACCTGAGCATCAGCTATTCATATGTTAAATTCTTTGAATTTACATGATATTATTCCATGTCCTATGTTACAACAGATCTTAACAAGTGTCTTTCGTGGTATTCTACTTTTCCCTAGTCTATATCTGAGCCACACTTGTTCCAAGCAGAATTTGAATTTGAAAGTCCAAGTGCCTCGCCGCTCCATGCATTGCCTTTTGGATTTAATACATTGGAATTCCGATCTCTTTGCTGCACTGAGAATAGTTAAAATAACTATCACACCACAAGAAGATTTTGGTTTTTATCACAGTTTAACTGCTCCATTCATTTAGTCATTGCTTATTTATGGTTTTGTAGAGTCAAAAATTGTTCCTTGAGGCACTTTCTTATCTTTGCTTATAATATGTTTCTGACATTCTTATGCACACGAGCTTAGATACTAGAGATTATACGGCAGCTCATAATAGGCTGTTTAAGTAGCAAGTTTCTTCTCATGTTAGCCCTCAAGATTTGTTGTGCTTTTGCTTTGATATGTGCCTTAGTTCATCTATATTGACTATTCCCGCATCTCTCAAGGTAATGACTATTTCTGGAGCTCTGGACCATTTGCAATAGCAGTTTTACTTACATTCACATACTAAGTCCCATCAACGCAATTGAGAAAGAACCCGTGGATTTAGACTCTTCCTGCTCTAACAAGGCTACTTTAGGGTGTGAAATTCTTAGCTCAGGTACAATTTATGTTGTCTTTTGTAGATGTGCTCCTCTGTTTAATTATTGTTTGTTTGTTGAATCGCCATTACCAGCATTTGCCCCTGGAATTTCATCGATTTTACATAAATGGAATCCTCCAAAGACATGTACATGGCAAAGTGGACTGAGTCGTTGACCGAATTGTTTGTAAGTCTGATGGTGAATGAGGTAAAAAAGGGAAATCGCACATCATGTACCTACAATAGAGTAGGGTGGATTAACATTGAGGGAGAATTTAATAAACAAACAGGACTTCGCTTTAGTCTACCACAGTTCAAGAATAAGGCACAGAAACTGAAGAGACAATATGGTAGTTTCAAGAAGCTGCTTTTAACGACGGGATTTGGATGGGACGATGAGAGCAAGAGGGTTGTCGTGGACGATGAAACTGTCTGGGCAAATCACATCAAGGTGATGTTACTTACTTAGGTCCTCTTATTGCTGAAACCTCAAATGTAAGATTTATAAAAGGTTGAGTACTGCCTGATATTATTTTGAAAATGGCGCAGGCTAATACTGAATGGGCCAAGTTCAGGAAGGACGGATTTCCTTTGTATTCACAGCTTTGTGTTGTGTTTGGAGATACATACGCTACTGGGGAGTTTGCAATAGGAAATGAGCAAAGCGTGGCGCCGTCGGAGGGTACAGGTGATAGTGGTGGTGGTGGTGGTGACAACGATGTTCATGTCGACCTAAGCGAATCAGAACAGTTTTTCGAAACTCAAGCTAATGTGGAACAATTTAACGTGCCGACAAGCCCACATCCAAAAAGCCACAGGTTGGATAGGACTCCAAATGCCAAGAGAAGGAGAAAGAGCAGTTCACATTCATTTGACGCGACCTGCAAAGCCATTCAAGAGATTATCAAAGCTAAGACGGTTCAAACATCAAGTGCCTCCGTTACCTCACAGTCCTCAACACCTGTGGACCCTTACTCTGTAGTAGCTGTGGCTACCGTCCTAAATGCCATACATGACTTGGACAAGGTTCTTTACATCAAAGCTATGAACCGTGCTTCGTCAGTAATGCCTCTTGGAGAGAGGGCTTCCTGACATGTCTTCCCGAAATGAGAGTTGCCTTTATTGAGTCTATGGATGAGTAGTTGGGCTGTTGAGTAGTTGTTGGGCTATAGTATGCCGTTTTATGTTTGAGTTCATTTTGGCTTTTCACTTATGTATTTCGGACATTGACTTGTCTTTATTCCTATGCATTTGTGATGATGTTGAGACTTTGCTTTAATGTGATTGAATTCCATAATTATCTGTCCAATGGTATTAAATTCCCCACATATCAATTCAAATGTATTGGCTTCTCAACTAACATGTTGAGTTTGTCTTCTTGTTTCGCATGACGGCCTAGG